GTCCTTCTGAGACTGTAAATGTTTTGATTAATCCAGGTACTTTTTCTTTTGCTAGAAAAAGTAATCTGCTTAACAGGAGCTACTTTATCTAAGATACTGCAGCATTGTTTATCCAATGACTGGATGAACAAGCTTGGACCATCACCCTGAACTGAGCTGCTGTCAAATAATCTAGAAAGTCCATCCAATGCTGACTGACTAATGATACGGCTCTTTGACTTTAGGTTGTGAGGGACAGATTCAACATTAGATAGGGCATTAAAGAAAATGCAGCTGTGATCACTCACATGAGCCTCTTCAACATGTAAATGATTGATTTTTAGTCCAAAAGATAGAACAAGATCTAGAGTGTGGCCCATTTTGTGTGTGGGGCCTGAAACGTGCTGCTCTAAGTTAAAAGACTCCAGAATAGACATGAACTCCACTGCTGTGCTATAATTAGGATCATTAATGTGTAAAATAAAATCACCAAGGATTAAAACTTTTTCTAGTTTGATCATTGATGATAGAAAATCTGCTAATTCAGAGAGAAAAGGGCCAGCTGGACCGGGAGGTCGGTAGATTAAAATACAGTGAAATACATTTTGTAACCCTTTTTTGATGACCTGACATTCAAAAGTTGTAAAAGGGCCATTTTTCACCAGAATACAGACATGTTTGTCCTTAAAGACCACAGCAAGACCTCCACCACGACGTGTCGGGCACGGTGTGGTAAACACAGAGCAGTTTGGTGGACATATTTCATTGAAATGTACAAAATAGCCATCTTGCTGCCACGTCTCCGTGAGAAATAAATAGTCCAACTTTTCTCTGCGAACAGCTCATTTAAAATAAAGGATTTGTTTGAGACGGAGCGGGCATTCAACAGGGCACATTGAAATGAATCCTGGAGAACATTTGTCTTCTTAACCTGTTGGAGGGATGGGTCGTAAACATCTGGTGTTCTGGGTTCTCCGGCCATGAACACAGTTTTTGTCTTTGCTGGTTGATAAATGAACTGGAATAGGGAAACTTTTGGGTTTGTCAGCAGAAGACAACATTTTGAGAATTGTGACCTTTGGAAGACACACAGAAGACTGTTGCATCATGGGAGGACTGTAGGGAGTGATGTTATTTGAAGTGGAGGTTTGAGCAAAGGCCGAAGAAGGTGAAGATCTTCAGGTGATGTTCATTCATCACATATGATTATGATTTTTTAGCTTATAAGTTGTAAAGCTTTGTAGTATTTGTGTGGATTCACTTTTATTCAGAGGAAGGAATCCAGCAGTCTGACTTTTATGCAGAAAAAAAGGGCTTTTGTGGGAGACCTTGGCAGTTTATTTATGTCTGCGTTGAAGAACAATAAGTGAGCAAAAGGTTGATTTGTGCGTCTGGATCCTCCAGCTGGTGTAACCTTGACTTTGCAGCTCTGGCGCGTATGAAAGGTTACTGTCTCAATTCTATGGTGAAAATTGACCCTTTTGCTTCATTACACCACCATCATCTTTAAATTAGCATCATAACTCTGCTTTGGTAGGTAGCTTGTTCACTTGCCCCACTTTCTGTTCACTTTGCTCCAGACCTCTCATCTCCATTTTTTTCCTGTTGAGAACATACAGCCCTGCATACTCTGCTGTTACGATCGTGTAACAACCCCAGACAAATATCAGTATGTGTGAATGCTTAGACCCTAATAAAATGATGACCCCACATTTTAAAATGATTTTCAATGAAATAAACCTTGTCCTATATTCGGGTCAATACGGTAATTTAAATGTTTTTGTTTTTTGTTCCAAATGGTCAACATTTTCTTTTATCTTTTAGCCCTCCCAGAACTTCCACAGCATCATGTCTGGGAAAAGGAGGAGGTTTTGACTGACCATCAGCTCTCTAACCAGGAGACGACCTCCAGTTTAGACCAGAAGGAACCAGTATCTCCACCGATCAAAGAAGAACAGCAGGAGCTTCGTCAGCATAAAGTACAGATAATTTTGATTCAGGAAAATGTTTACTCTCATGGAGACTTCGGCTCCTTCTGAAGAAACAGACTGCCGTGAACCAGAACCAAACAGGAACCAACCCTTGTGTCAGAGTTCTACAGAAGCTGAGGAGCAAGATCAGGGTGGATGCAGAAATAAAATACTGAATTATTCAGCAATGAAGATTTCACACAAAATAAAAGACATCAACAAACTGAAGATCAAAGAGACAGTGAAGACCATCAGAAACTAAAAAGGCCAGAAAGGCTTTCATGAAATTAGATCTGGGAGTTTTTAGGTTTCATTCTTTTATTACATTTTTTTTTCTGAGATCTGTCAGCCTGTGTGTCTTCAACATCAGCTACACAACGCAGCAAGTGTAAGTACCAAGTACTTGCCTTGACCACTTCATGTATGGTTTTGTACTTTAAACAGCTAGGCCAAGCCTGTTATTTTTTTCTCCATAGCCACTTGGATCATTGGAGACAGCTACGTGAGGCGTGGTGCCCAGAGAGCTGCAGAGACCCTCGGAGACAACCTTGGCCTCCCTGACGTCCGTGTCTCCTGGTTCGGTTGGGGCGGACTGAGGTGGAAAGACCTTCTCCCCTTCTTTTTCCACTCCCTGCGAGGAAGAGCAGCTCCTGATGTCCTTCTCATCCAATGTGGAGGCAATGACATGGGGGTGGTCAGCAGTGGTCAACATTATGAAGGAGGACCTGCACCGGCTTCACCTTCTACACCCTCATATGATTATCATCATGTCATCCATCACCCAAAGGTGTAGATGGAGGGCAGGTGTAAAACCTGCTAAAATTGAGAAGGCCAGGAGGTTTGTCAACAGTGTTATGGCTACATTTATTTCTAGCTTAAATGGTGCTGTAGCGTTATGAAGATTATAATTGTCTGCCCTTAACAGCTGCCCCTTCACACAGTAACATCGCCAAGGACGGACGCTTGGTTCAGTATGTTTACATTCCAGGAGAAGAGACAGAAGAAGAGAAGAAGAACGCTTTCCTTTTATTAAAGTACTTTATTCGTGATAAAGCTAATCAGAGCATATGTTGATCATTAATAATCAGGTGAATGATCGTGACATAAAGATGTCATGAGCTATGTGTTTAATGAATAAACAGGACTGCAGCAGACACACTGATCTACATTACCATGGAAACAAATTACATTGTTTTCAACCAATCAGAGCTTTCGTCTGTCGTAGGCAGAATCTGGCTCGTTTACTTAATTTGTCCAATCCGGTTTACTAAGATTTATAAACAACTGGGAGATATAAAACAAGGCAACGCCATTTTATACTCAGTTCCACGTTAACCTCAGTTCCGTTCATGTGGAGGTCCTAAGGATTTCCATCGTCATCATTAAGGAAGTTACAGGCTGGCCAGCTGTACTTTCTACTTTAAGCTGAGAACTGTCAAGCTGGAGATTTCCGTCATTTGAACCAACTAGACGACGTTCCTTCAAAATAAGAGTGAACTTGTTGACGCCTGCCGATGCTACCTGAGTCGACCCTTCAGACGGGCGTTGTGTGCTGCGACCGCTGTTTCAACCAGCTCCAGTACATCTGAAGGTCCGAGGACCTGGCAATTCCTGATCTAACACGGCAGGCTCCACTGGGTACGTAAATACGGCAAAAATGGCGGCTCATGTCATCAGCTTCTGAAGCCTCGTGGTAGCCTAGTCATAACAACCAGATTCGCTACGTCAGCCTAGAGATTCTGAACAACACACACACACACATCAACACGAAACATCCAAATCCATATGCATTCATCATTGAGATAGTCCTGGTAGATTGTAAGAATTTATAATTATAGAAATTAAAGATTCTTAAACGATTCCAACTCTCTCTTTTCTTGTCTCTCAATCAATACAGAGTATTTAAGTAAACTCCCTGATGATACAAACAACCACTTCTGATTATAATACTTAAATCTAATTACAGTGTATAAATATACAACTTCAGATCATTACAGTGCCGTTGTCGTGCATCCTCACATCAGACATGACAGGGTTATTTTTGTCAGACAAAGTTCATTTCACAAATAGGGGAAATCATATATTTTTTAACGAATATTGCCAATTGTCTTAATGGCCAGCTCCAAAAGCAGTGAAAGACTTCCAGGTGGGAGTCTCGCTGCTTTTGAATTTTGTCTTTAGGACAGATTTATTTTCAGGCAAACAGGATAAACATATCCCTGACTGTTATAGCTAATGTGTTTTTGGTGTAATTTATCTATAGCCATAACACCGTTGACAACTCTGTTCTTCTTTCACAACCCAATGTTCCACTCACTCTGCAGCTCTCTGAGCCCCTTTTATTATTTTAAGTTTTTTTTAAATGTGTTGACACTTTGTGTCCTATTATTTTATAAAATGTGATGTAAAAAAAATAAATGTTTTTGCTCAATTACTGGAATTTCTTTGGTTAAGACAAAAAAAGGAGGGAAGAATCATATATGTCAAGTTATTTCTACAACAGGCCCGTTTTAAGTCCAACAGTTTCTTAGCAGCCAATTGAAGTTTGTTCTTTACTAACTTTACTTGGTTTAAAAATCTTACTAAAAGTTTCTGATCACTTAAGACATTATGTTGGCTTTCCAGCTCTGGTTTACAGCAAATAGAACAAAAATGAGGTTTTGTTTATTGGCTCAGACTATTGAGCCTAATACGGATGAGTTTTTATACCAATGTGAATTTGTGAAGAAAATAATAAAAAGTTGATTTAAGAATAAAAAGTTGTGATGGACTGAGGACTTGGTGAACTGTATAGGATTCATGTGTAATTTAGAAAACGTTAGTGGGGTTTTGGGTGTTAAAACTTTAAGAGACCGTAATGGAACCATCACCTTCAATCACAAGACCTTTGTGACCAAACAAAAATCCATTTTATATATGCTGTAAGTCATAAGACAGAATCATGTGACTTTTAAGCTCCAATTAACTAAAACTGAATGCTTTAGCATAAGAAATATAACACACAACAGCAAGGCAGAAACAATGTGACTCAGTAAAAGTCAACATATGGGAAACGTTATTAGCAGTGTTTTTTATTTTGTAGTTAGGAAAATAAAAGCAGAGCCTTAAACCAAGACTGCAGCCAGCCACTAGGGGGAGCACTAATTCCTCATAACATTCCTACATTTCAATATGATCAATGTTTGTGGATTAAACCAGTTACATTCATTTAGTCTAATACTAATAAATACATTTTATTGTTAAAGTAAAACATTGAAGCATTGATAGATGTGAATCTTTGCCACTTTATTTTAAAAAAACTAAGTCAGGAATACATTTTTCTCACCAGAAAACTAAAAGTAACTTCAGCATAGGACTGTGTGAGATGTAAAATTCATATTTTAACGGTTGCTGATCTTTTCTTTGTACAATCTCAGTTTAGAGAACGAGGAGTTAGTTCTAACTGAATCCTGTGTGGATTAGTTTTTAGTTTGTCATTCTGGTTGTAATTAGCCCCCATTTCTCCAAACCGAGGCTGTTCAAAGAGGAATCTTACACAGATTTGATAAATACTGATTTTAACAGAAATCTACCTGCAGAGATCCCTTCAGAAAGTTAAAAGGCTACAGCTGCCAAATTATATTTACATGTTATTTCCTGCATCATTTATGATTTCTACATAAATGATGTTACACAGAAAGGATAATACCTTAATTTCATCTTGACTGTGTCTATAGTTGTGATCGTTCTTTAGTTATTTCATATCGTCACTGAGAAAAGTACACCACATCAGTCGCTTCTAAGACAACAAATGCAGCAGCAACTCGATGTTTTAAGAAAACAGCAAAAAAAATATGTTGCCATGGAGACAAGGATTTTGTGTGGATAAATGCTTCTTTGAAATGTTAATTTACACACAAAAAAATGCACATCAAATAAAGTAACATCTCTGTGTAGTTAGAGATGACCACTTCCAGTTTAGCTCATTTATTTGTACTTTAGTAAAAAATAAGTGGCGTGTTTCTGTTCTCTCACTGCACTGCACACGCCCCGCTGGGCAGGAAGTCCTGCACGTACACCGCCACAGCCTTGGTGAGATAAGTCATGCTCCCAAAGCGACCACTGGGGGCGCTGTCATACAACAGCTTGCACACTCCTGTGGACGGGTCCTTTTCCAGGATGTGATCTTCAGCTCCCAGGTCCTTCTGCAGGAGGAGGACAAACCAGTCTGAGTTTGTGGCAAATACTCTAAATCTGTTGTTAGAGTTGTGTGCACACACCTGATCCTTGTAGAACATGTCATTGGCCTGTTGGACGATCTTCTCCACGTGAATGATGGAGCCGATGCTGGGGATGTCCACGTCAGCCAGCATGGTGAGGACCAGGATGGCCTCCACCAGCAGCTGTCGGTACTCAGGCTGAGGGACTCGGTTCAGAACAGTCTCCACGTGGACAGAGAACTTTATCTCCCCGGGGGTCATCTGGAAGGTTACAAACGTTTTAGAGAGGGGTCGAAAATCTTAGAGAACAAACGTGTGTGGCGCCTCACCTCTCTGGTGGTTGAAGATGGGAGGACAAAACCCTCTATGGACAAACCGTGGCACTGCAAACCAGCACAGTTCTATAGATTAGTTTCACACACTCTTTCAGAATACGACGTCTCACATTTAAATTGTGCTTTTTTTCTTCTTCACAAGTCTGCACAAGCTTGTATATCCTGACCTTTTTGCCTGTTTGTTTTGGTGGCTTTAGGTGGACTCCACATAGAAATGATGAGCTCTGTGCTTTTCAGGAGATCGTTACCTTTAGATATCCTTATACTGGTTCCGTTGTATTTTTATGTCCCTTTTCTTTCTTTTTCTGCAGGTCTAGTAGAGAATTCTCTAGTATTTATTTTTGTGAACAAGCCACAACCTCTCTTCCTTTCTCCCCCCCCCCTTCTCTTCCATTTTCATCTCCGTGTTTGTTAAAAACAACCAAAAGCATTTTTAATAAAGTTTTGATATCAGGCGGGGCGTTATAGCTGAATCTACAATGCTGCACCTGTGAGCGTAAGGCTTGTTTTTGGTACATGAAGGGTATATCAGCACTTCTGGTGGAATTACAAGGTGTGTGTTTTGATTACAAGTGAAGAAAAAAATAGTTGAAATTTTCAGGTTAATGTAATGCCTAACCGGTTGGTGACAAACTGCTAACAGCAGTCACTAAGGAGTTTTAAAAATGTCTCAAGGTTGGTGGTTGTTGATTTTCCCTGTAAGCAGCAGAGCTCCACTGTCATATTGTTGAACTTTGGGGCATTTAAAAAAATGTGCGAGAGACAAACTAGTCAAAAGTTTGCAGATGGTATCTGGAACCCATCTCAATGTAGTTTGGGTGAGTCTGAAAGAGCAAGTAATTCAGGACAATTTTGCTAGGGGCTGACTGCTGCGAATAAAACGAGAACAAACTCAATTTAAGTGAAACTCCAGATTTTTTCTTTCATCTGACAGCACCATCTAGTGGCTGACAAATGTATCGCATCAAGCCATGGTTTCCACTTCCATATTTTAGGCCAAAAGCAACGCCTTTCGTTCATAAACGCGCTCCACTAGCTGACGAATCAGAGCTAAAACAAGTTTTACAATGATTTTGCTCATGTTATGTAGCCATATATATTTTTTCTCAAGACTTACTTGTCTATGAGAAAGGTCACCAACCTGCATCAGCAAAGGTGCGTCCCTAAACGCTGGAGTACTCTCTGTGATTGACGTCTGTATGTAAGTGGTAGTCTAACGCTATTGGTCAGTGCTGACCGGTGCTCAGTTCATTTTGAATTGAGCTCTATTGTAAAAGGGGGCTTAGCAAAAAAATAAATAAAAATACAAATACATATCACCGTACATTATATCACAGTACATAAGAAAATCACTTTAAAGAAAATCAGAAAAATCATACATAAATCCTGAAAAGGGAAAAAATAATGCAGCTTTAAGGCACTTTGTGACTAGAGTGATACAAAAATGTTTGCGAGTTACACGATTGCTGCGATTTCTTCACAATTTTGTCCTATATCTTACCCACAGGGTGCGTTTCACACTCAAAACGGGAGCGAAATCGTTCCACACTGCGAGTTCCGCGAGGTTTTGAAATGACGACAGAATTGCTAAACGACGCCTGATTCCTGCTGTTCCCGTTATAACAAGCAGGGACAAAAATGGCAGCCCGTATCCAAATGTCTGTGGTTTATTTTCGGTTCTGATTATCTCAGCTATGTAGGTTTCACAGGTAATGACGCACTTTTTTTTTTACTAAACAACTGGAAATCTGCATGTGTATTTTATTTTGAAAGTTTCCACGTTTTACACTGCTTTCGTGTTTGACTTTCTGCCTGACTTCATCTGAACTGCTGAGCTTCTGAAAGTGTAGCATATAAAAAATAAGCAACGCATTGGTGCACTTCTGGTCCAAAACTCGTTGCTTTGCGGCCGGTGGAAATGACCCCACTATACTGGTGGCTAATTGCTGCATACGATGCTTAGCATAACGTACACGTTGGATGGAAGGGTCCAGTTACAACACTTGGCTATGGGAGAAAGAATCTGAGGCAAAAATGTTCCACATTCAAATGATATCTCACCTGAACATTTTTACATTTTTATAAGCAGTTTGCGTCTCCAACATCTTGCTAACTTTCACAGCCCAGACATATACTGGTTTTAATTGGTCTTCTAATGACTGTTTACATGTGTTCTGCATTAGTCTGAGTAACATAAACCAAACAAGATGTTTGAACAATGTCCATTCATGGTTTCAGAAAAATACGGATCAAAGTAAAATCAACAGAAAACGTCTCTTAGACCTTCTGAAGGATCTTCCACACTTTCTGGTAGAAGCCAACTGGAACCCGATTCAGTGCCCCATCCAGTCGCCTTCTGCGCAGCCATTGTCCATGTCTGCTATCCTTGGTAACCGGAATGCTGTCAGGAAGATCGATGGATTCCACAGATGGAAGTCTGTACCTCTGAACAAAGAGGGGGAAAAAATAAACAGGCAAGTCTTCACAGGTGTGTTTGCTCATAAGAAACAGGGTCCTCCGTCTGCTTCGATGTTCAATGTAAACATAACCTGATGTTTTTTTTCATTGTGTTATAAAAGTCCACTTTCTAACTCATCAGGTTTCTCCTCCATCCCCAAGGTAGACTTTAGTCAAAATAAGGCAGTAGGTCATAATGTTATAGCTGATCAGTAAATAACAAAAAGACATGCGGACAAAACAAAAAGTACCAAAATGGTTTCTGGTTGGTTACATGTGTGATCATCCACTCCTCCCTACTACCAGCACACTAAAAAAGAACAAGAAAACAGAAACCGCCCTTTTGATGGGTCTAAAAAAATATCAGTAAGAGCAAATGTTTACCCCGATGTCGATGCTTTCTACGTCCAGTGACTGAGCTCGCACTCCCTGAAAAGCAAACAACAAAAATGGACCAGAGGAAAGAAAATAAAAAGATGCATATATTAAAAAAAAGAGAGTGAACAATGGGATTGATGAACCCAAAAGCAGGTGGAATCACAACATGAATGAATGTGAATCAGTACATGAGATGGAAGAAATTAGGATTAAGGTGAGCAAATTCCTGCTGGAGTTAGTCAAATTATCTAAAAAAAACAAAACAAACAGATTTATGTCATCTTGAAAGGAACTAAATGACAACAAACTTGAATAAAGTTTTAAAATGAAAAAGAACATCCAGTGTTAAAATGCATCCATTCTCCTCGGCCGGTTGGGAGGAGTTCCTCTTGGAGGATGATTAGTTACCATGCTTTCTTCTCTTGACCCCCCCCCCCCTAAACTTCAAACTAAACATGGAAAAGTCTGATAATAAATACCACGTTAGCTCATTTCAGTACATAGATAAGGAATTAGTTTTCGTTTTTATCTATTTAATCAATAAGTTACCAGGCACAGGTTAGCTGCTGTAGTCAATAAACTCCAATAACATCATTCACAATAAAGGAGAAACTTGCAATGTCATGTTTTAGAATTTTCAAGCAGCCAAAGTGATGAGTTGAATTATCTCTAACTGAAAACAAATTATAATCATTGTAACAGTCACCTTAAGGGAGGTTGTTGAATACGGATCGAGCTGAATGAAGAAAGAAAGAAATAGACAAAAAAAAACACTGATTAATATACTTTAATTTAGCCTTCTTTAACTGGATGATGACCTCCCTGGATAGTCTCTGTAGGGCCTTGAAGAGGTCTAACGTGGAGATTTATTTCACTGAATCAACCTGATAAAAAGCTAGATATTTTCATCCCTGGCTACGAGTCTATGACTCAAATAACTGTTGGAATTTTGCTAAAATTGTATGATCATTGGCCATTTAGCTGCACTCTGATAAGTTCTGTCATGTCATGCTTTGATGCAGAACCAGACATGCTTTAATACAGCAGTGTCCACCCCTGGCGCTTGGGCCCCTATCCTGAATGTTCTAGCAGCTTCCCTGCTCCTACATACCTGACTAAGTGGCTGAATCACCTGTTCAGCAGCTCATCAAGCTCCGCAAAAGCCTGTTGATCACCTGCTGATGACACTCAGGTGGAAATGTCTAAAACATGTAGGACGGTGGCCCTGGAGGACCAAGGTGGGACTCGTCTGGTCTACCAGGTCATCATACAGTGTGAAGGACACCCATATTGATGACATAAATCTGATTAATTGACCCAAATTTCACAGATGCTTGTTAAAGACTTTCTTATCTTAAACATTTTGTTTTTTTGACAATATTCTGGTGTTGTTGTCTCACACCAACAGCTCACTGGACCAGAACAAGCATCGTTTCTCTGATCAGCACCATCGTAAACCGTCGATCTGTCCAAATCACTACAAAATTATGTCAATCAAAAAGCAGCATCTGATTTATTTTCTCACAAACATCATTATTGTCACCTTAAATGAGTGGGTCAGAAGCTGTTTTTACAGGACCAGAGCGTTTGCAAAACGGGATTTGCCGCAGCGCCCTGGGGAGGATAAAGGTCGTTTATAAGATCAGACCGTGGCGGTAATGTGGCGCAATCGTGGCAATTTTATAAAAGATCAGGTGATGGCGGCATAAAGGGGGCATGGAGGCAGTCTCTGCGCTGCCGCAGACTTCCGTTTATCTTGGACATAACTTGTTTTTTATTTTTATTGAAGCCGTGATCGTTACGTTTTTTTTAAACAAGCAGCTCCTAAAGGTGTCTGTCCCCGTCAGTCCCTGTGCAGTCTCTGGTGATCTGAGCTTCAGCTCTAACAGAGGCTCATGGAGCGCCGCAGCGCTCCAGTTTTCCATCTCAGCTGATTTTGTTCAAAAAGCAAACTTTATTGCCTGTGTTTACTTTCATTTTTAATAAATTTGCCAGCCGGAGCTCAGCAATAACTCCCCACGTCATCATGACGTCCGCCTCTGTTGCGCCAGGGCGCATACGACAGACCATTACCGCAATATTACTACCAAGCGAGGCGGAACGAATGGCGCAAAATTTGCGCAACACCATGCTGGCATGACGCGTTTATAGACATACCATTGCGGTAATATTACACCGATTTGCCGGCATGGCGTGTCTTATAAAAGAGGCTAGAGACGCCTTCCGCTCTGTCTGTAACAGAGGAAACACATCAAACTGATGAAAATACTCAGAAATGTTCTAGAGATTGCCATCCTCCACCTCAAGAATCACTGAAATCAGATGAGTGAATTACATGTTGATCAGCTGGATAAATACAGCCCAGTGGAAAAGTCTGGAACTTTTCATGTTGGGAGTCAGACTGCTTTAGTCTTTAAAACAACGCAGAGCACACGTTTTACGTCTTTACCTGCCTTGTTGCTCTTTACCAGCTAGATTTTGCCCTCCAACATAAATTATGTTTCTAAACACAGAACAACAAGAGTCTATCTAGTGCAAAACTGCCAGAACGTGATGCAATCAGACAACGTAAACTTTCTTTAAATTAAAATAAAAAAAATAAAATAAAAACTAAATATGGCTCAGAACATAAAACAAAAAGAAAATTCTCCAGATTTCTGCACCGCGCTGTAAAATCCAGTCAGGATTCATGGATTAAAACTAGTCCAGCTGAGCTGTGGACCTGATCCAGACAGAGAAACGACCAGTGGCTCCGTCTGAATCCTAAAGACAGAGTCAAACAGGTCAGATCTGCTGTGAGAATTCAATTCTAAATTAGGAAGAATATAAATTACAAGTTCATCTTTAAACAAAGACCACCTCCAGTGAACCCGCTGTGTTCCCATCAGCACCCTCCAGGTGAATTAACACCCACTTTAATCATCATCATCATCACCTTACTCAAATCCACCACAGACAGCCTGTGCTCCAGCTGTAAAAAGCACATGATGCAGGTTTAGTCTCTCTTCTAAACAGACGCTGGTCATTTTTAAGGCCCTCAGAGCTGTTTTAAAGCTTTATTTGTTCTGGAACCCTGGGAGGGTCCACATCTACTTTCCCTACCAGCTTCATGTCGCTCTTCAGTTTGCTGATGCCGGCCCTCTCGCTCTTAGTGGCGCCCACGTTGCCCAGGTGATGGATGGAGATGGCGGGGCTGACGCCAGCATCCCCGTCTCTGACTGTGTGGAGGAAACAGGACACACACACACACATCTGAAGTTTATCTGATGTAAGGGTGATGTTGCAGGGAGGGCACTGACCGCTGCGCTGGACTACAAACTCCTTCCCACTCAGGATGTGGTGCAGCAGGTTCTTTAGCTCCGACGGGCTGAGACTCATCAGACTCTCGGTGGCCTCCTCTCCTGCAGATGAGATTATCGTGTCAAATTAAACACCTCTAATTATTTATAGGTTTAAAAGTCTCTGAGAACCAAAACAAGTTTAGTATCAGAAAACCAGAAAGTGACGAGTTAGTTTTTTAAATATTCCATCCATCCACCATCCACCATCTAAGCCACTTTATCTTCACTAGGGTGACAGGGATCTACCTTTCTACAAACGTGATTGGGGGAATCACAAAAGAATCACTTAAAGGGGCTCGAATGGCCACCAGATCACACTCAGGACATGCCTGCAATGTGCTGTAATCCTGTTGAACATCCTTTCTGTTACCAGTAGAGGGCGCTCACTGGGACTTCTGAGTTTAGAGGCATGAAACGAGCCTCAGAAGGCTTTACCTACAGGGGCCATCAACAAACTAGCATTTTATTTAAATATAAATAGAGAAGCAGCATATCAATAGTTAGTTTTAGTAACTTGCAGTGTTGGGAACGTTACTTTAAAAAAGTAATTAGTTATAGTTACTGATTACTTTGTCAAAAAAGTAACTCAGTTACTAACTGAGTTACAAGATCATAAAAGTAACTAATTACCAACAAAATTAACTACTTAGTTACTTTTTCATTAAAGCATGCAGGAATTACTACAATAGTAAAATATAAATGACTAATGACTGGAACATAATAAAATGTATGTCCAAATGTTTTTTATAAACCTGAATAATTTAAACAAATATGCACTTAACAGGAGGAACTACTAATAGGAACATTACACTAATCTAGACTAGTAAAAGGTCACTGTGATATTTAACAAAAACCCAATCAGCTAACATTTAAAATTGCAAATAGAAACACCTGTAAAGGTTCCCGAGCCTTTAAATCTCAGTCTAGTTAAATTACAGAAATAAATGTAATTTTGCACAGTATTCTAATTTTTCCAGCTTCACATAATTGTGTGTTTTTACTAGCATTTCTGTTGCTGGTAATCTAGTAACGGTTAAATAAATATCCTTTAAAATGACACTAGAAGAGGCACAGATCTGATGGAGGACTTACATTTACTAACTTGGGTCAGACCCAACCACAGAAGAGCTGAAGCTGGGTGGTAAACACACACAGGTAGTTCTAATAACACCTGAGCTCCATGACGTCTGAGACTGATGCATCAGTGTTACAGCGCGACTAAACACATGATCAGGAACAGGTTACAGCTGGATGATCTAGGAAAGCAGAAGATCAGGACGTCTGAGTGGTGAACAGGTGAGCGGACCGTCGGGACGTCCCGCTGCACGCTAAGAAGGGCACGGCTGCAGACCCGCAGATTCGCTGCAGCAGCAACAAATCTGCGGGGGGTCTGCAGCCGTAGACTATTCATCACGTCTTCCTCGTTCTTCACGGGCCGTGATGCTCTTGGATGAAAACATCTACCTCTTTAGCTCCTGATCAGCTGATGATGACAGCTTCAACACACCGCGCTGCTTCACGCACGCATTTTCTTATCAGTAACAGAAACGACGTTTTGATAAAAGAAGACGTAATTAATTAGTTTGCTCGTTACAGAAAGAAATATTTTTTATTAACGCGGTTATTTTAAACGGAGTTATTCCCGTTGTGTCTACAGAATGCAGCGACTGAGACCGTGAGGGTCTCCGCCCACCCGGCCAATCATCATCGTGTTTGTAAGTGTGTTACCGACACCTCTCTCTCCCTGGCTGCAGCTGAAGTGTGGCGGTCAGAAAGCCTCACGCTGCTGCTCAACGTTCGACAAGCACATAGTAACGCACAACCTTCCGTCCCCAGTAACGGTAACGGCGTTGCAACGGCGGGAAAAGTAATTAATTTGATTATTCCGTTACCTATAAAAGAACGCCGTTATACTTAAACGGCGTTACTCCCAACACTGGTAACTTGTGATAAAAAATTACTTATTTTTTATCACCTTTTAAAATCTAAAAAGCTAAATGAACCCTAGCCTTATCTGTAAGGGCTCTACCTCTGTAACATGATTAGTATACTCAGAGCTGAGTGTTTTAATATTATTGTTATTAATATTATTACCGAACTAAACAAAACATAATTAATACCTTTTTGAAATCTTTATTCCAGTTTGAGGCTCTAAAGTGTTTATGAACCACCTCACCTGAGCAGTTGAGTGACTGAGCCAGCTCTGTAGCCATGACCTGGATGATGAGGCCGATCCTCAACCTAAACATCTCACTGAACAGGCCGGGCTGAGTCCTGATGCTCATTGCCAGGTACACCATGATCTCCTGGTGGGGAGGGAGGGAGGGAGGTGAAGGAGAGCTACAGGGACACATAAACCCACTCAGGACCGAAGGATGCGGCCCACCTGGGTGAGGATGGCTACGCTGATGTTGTTGTCGCTGGCTTCATCGATGAGAGCGGACAGCTGGTCTGGAGGGATTGGAGCCGTGATGGTCTTCTCTCTGGGTTCTGGGGGAAGGCCCACCGTCAGGTGCTTCTGATGCGCCAGCAGGTCCGAGCAGGCCTACAGCAGGGTAGCAGAGAGGATTGTAGGAGATGATGAGGCTAAACTAATATTTGTGCTTATTTATGATTGTAAGAGATAGATGCACACGCTGGTGAAGGCTTCTTTTACTCCTCTGGTTGGGTGGCTTGAGAGAGGAGTAAAAGAAGCTATTTGTGTCAAATGGGGGGGCGGGGCTTAGATTCCACCTTCACAGCACCTATAAAGTTTGGTTTATGCTTGACGCGTCCGCGAGGTCCGCACGGCTCCGCGCGGAAAAGTTGCGTCATTTTGCGTCATCTTAACAACCACGCCCCTCCACCGCGCCTCTGCACGTTCCAAACTTTCCGCAACGCACACCTAGGAAATTTTCTAACCACGCGGACGGTCGGACGTGTAAAAACATGGCGGACTGGCAAGAACTAGTATGGCAGAGGTTCGTAAATACAGACATTTGTATGATTCAGCTCTCAGAGATCACCGTGATCAACACGTTGTTAATAATTCTTGGAGAGAAATAGCTCGCACTGTCGGAAAAGACGAGGACGCTGTTAAAAATGCTGAAATGCCATGTTGTAAACAGTAATTTTTAATTCTACTATGGTGTAGTGTTGGATGCATGCCGTAGAGCTCCATGCTGCCCCCTACAGTTTGGGAGAATATTGGCTCACCTCAGAGACAAGCTGCATGAACCATAAACGCTGCAAGTTGTGAAGCGCGTTCCATCCGCAAGCCGCATCACCGCGTGGAAAGTGAATGCGTCAAGCATAAACCAAGCTTAATGCAGCTTTGAATCTCATTCCTAAGCAGTTTCAGTCTGGGCCACACCTTCCTGCATCTAATCAGCACAACGACTCATCAGGGGTGGAGAGGCGGGGTACCCAGAGTAGTTTCTGCTCGTTAAATAACAACAGACAGCTACAGCGTACAAGCTTGACTCTCACATATTCCAGTTAGAATTGACAAAGCTCCTCGGATGAGAAGAGAAACGTCTTCAAGAAACCAAAGAAGTCCAGTTGTCTTCATTTGAAGATTGATGCACAATGTTATGTTTAAGCATTAGCATCATAGTGTCCATGTGTGCAATAGTCAGGTCCTGTAGCAATACTGGAAACAAATGAACTCAAGTTGTTATCATCTAATGTTTAAGGATCCCTGACACAGCCATCCACCTGGAAGGGTCAAATCGTTCTCACCGAGTCTGTGGACCGCGAGGGGTTGGGTTATGTCAGAAAACCCATCTTACGTTGTTTTCTGAATTTTATTGGCTATTTGATGCATCAATCAATAATTTACTGCGCCACAACCGGTTCAAGCTACACATGAGAAAGTGGGGGACCTTTTGGATCTCTCAGCCATTAGTAGAAGACTTAGCCCCGGCAGAGGGCTTCACCTGTTGGACCTGGCAAGAGGCGAGTCTAAAGTTTGAAGTAAACACGAGGAAGCTGAAGCAGGTTATGATGAACACCCAGGGAGAAAGACACACCTGTAGGTTCTCAGTGGTAAGTTATGTTGGATTGTGGATGTCAGACCTTGTTGTGGACAATCTGTTTTATTAGAGGACATTAATTGGACCCTTAATGTTTGTGTTGGAGATGGCTCTATTCTGCCCGTGACATAAGGCTTTTACTGGTTTAACTAAAGGGTTTACTCTGTCTTCAGTGGTGATTTTATCACGTTGCAAAAGATTCTGATTTAAAATGGAAAAAGTTAAATGAACCACCTGCAGTACGTAAAACACCAACGCGAACATGAGAAACAAGATGGCAGCGGTGCACCTCGACATGGAGAGCTATTCATCTGTTAAAGTTCTCGTATATTTTAGATATAAACACCGCCGGGTAAGAGGAAAATCACAACGTGCACGTGTTCTGATATCCTGCAGTCCTAGCAGGAAGTGTCTTACCGAGTCCAGCTCCTCCACTTTCTTCTTCAACATGCCAGAGATCATCCTGATGAGCCCCCAGTGTTTGAGGTCACCTGCCTTCTCGTAAAGATCAGCCAGCAGGGATCTGACCGTGGAGCCTTTACCGTACAGCTGAGTGTCCCACTCCATGCCTCTGAAAACAACACGAAGGGTTCCGAGTGTTAGGACATTACTCCGTTTCCCTGAGTCCATTAAAGCTTGCTGCTCACTTGTCTTTGAAGAGGATGTAGAGAATATCAGCCTGGTCCTGGAGGTTCTTGGTGTCCCTCAGCAGCTGGACCAAAGCCTTGTAGTCGATGGCTCCACTGGCGTCTGTTGGGATGCCACTCTCAAACGCCATGGACACATCGTAGCTCTAATAGAGAGACAAAAGACAAATTGCGCATGTGGACGTTTGGTGTTTGGAAGAAGATGAAGGAGAACAAAGAGGAGAAACCTGAGCTTCTTGTGACGTAGAGGTTTCTGGCAGGTTCAGGTTGAGTGACGGCTGACGAGAGCGAAACAGCTTGCTGGGTAGATACATGTTGACATCTGAACAAATAAGAGAAGAATATCCACGTCACCATCTAAGAATCCAAGCAGAGGCACAAAATAACTACTGTGCTGGCGTGAATGCTGAGTTCAGTCACTGTGGATGTTGAGATCTTGAGCTTTGTTCATCAGAGAAACCATCTCCTTGGTTTTGGTGGCCACGGCCTTGAATCTGCCCAGACCTCCAACTTGATGCTTGGTCTTCTTAGGAGCAGAGTGGGCCAGGAGGTGGTCCAGGTACTGAGCGAGGTCATCAGCCTCTGGGGAAGAGAATAATGAATCATGCACATTTTACGTAATTAGCTACAACATTCGGTTTCTTGAGGATCAGAATGCTAGGTCTTCTACGGTAGAGGGTTGGATGTAAACAACGGTCTTACATCAGTTTAAAATCTTAAAATAAGGATGAAAGAAAAAAATCGGCACACTGAAATATCGCAATGTTTCGTGGTATAATACTAAATCAATATTTAAAATCAGCATGTCGAATTTACATGCAAACATTAACTCTAGTTCTTTTGTCTGCAATTCAAACTCCGACTGACAGGTGGCAGCAGTTTTAACCGCCTCCATTCTGATGGAACAGTGAGATCTCGTGGATGTGTCCTGGAAGCATCTGGCCGTAATCTTTCAATTAAATTTAGTCTTAAAATTTGAACAAAAATTCCATGCTTTCGTTCTTTTTAAACACAGAAACAGTTTTGTTTATCTGTTATTGACGCTACGTTTCGCCGACGGCTGCCGGCTTCTTCAGGCTGACGCTGATGGTGGCGTCACTTCCTTCTCCGTTTATCTGCGGGCAGCAGAGGACGTTGTCGCCCTCTACTGCCCGCTCTCCCCTCTCTGACGATGCAGTCCCATGCGTGGTCCAGCGTGTAAACTCCGTCGTCCCTGTTCATGGTCCCACATCCACGTTTCCTTATCTCGATTGCTTCCTTGATCCATCTTTTGTATTTTTGTTGTTCGGTGGTTATGATCCGTGTGTTGTCCCAGTCCATTATATGGTTTTCTCTTAAGCAATGATCTGTTACGGCTGACTTTTTTATTGTACTTTCTGCTTCTTCTTTTGCTGCTCTTGTGTGTTTACGATTTGCCTCTTTCTCGCACTCCTTTCTGTGTTCTATTGTTCGTGTGTTGAGTTGGCGTCCGGTTTCTCCTATGTATGTTTTATTGCCTGAAGAAGCCGGCAGCCGTCGGCGAAACTGTAGCTACAAAACAGGTAAACAAAACTGTTTCTGTGTTTAAAAAGAACGAAAGCATGGAATTAGAACCACGACACAGCAAGATCAAACCTAAGATGTTGAACAAAAATTAATTTTAGTATAGAAATATATCGTATCATCTCCCTGTCTCGTGATATATATCGTACTGCCAGATTCCTGCCAATACACACCCCTACTTTAAAATACAATTACAATTAATGTGACAATTAGGTTGGTTTAAAATGAATAAAAAAAAAAACACGCGTCTGAAATTAAATGAGTCGTGCAATAAAAACACAACGATAATGCTCTCTCACTAAAATCCATCCATCCTTTTAAAAAAACCTCAGAACTTAATTTCTTTGCTTTAGTTTTCATGACTCTGACAACTCAAGCTGACACGCAAACATTTGATGTGAAATTTGAACGATTCTTAACTGGAATGCATGAAGAGGCAACCCTGCGGCGTCCCAACAAGCTGATGACTTACCCGGGGGAAGGGTCAGTGGGTGAGAGACAGAATAAAGCAGGAGGTGGTGAATAACCAAGCAGGTTAGTTTGATTTCTACTAGCTGTTGTTCAGCTTGCAGGTCAGTACTATAAACAACAGTCTGTTCAGTTAGATTCATTTAGAAGACATTTAAAAATGTGCTTTTGCAATAACCAGAAATTCATCGATTGCTTTGTTTCCCCACCTGATTCCAATCAAGACCTGTTGATTTTGAACAAGTTTTATTTTTCCAAGAGTTACGGCTAACACCACCAACTTTGAGCTATGCTTGATAAAAGAATCTGAGTTTTTTTTAAATCCTACAGGGTTTCCCAAACTACCGAAGTGCTAAATAAAAATAAATTGATTTAGTGAACAAATCCAGTTTTAGCTCTTTTTCATTTTTCTCTTTTCTCAAAAACTAAAACAAGAAAATGTAAATGGTAAATGGCCTGTATTTAATATAGCGCCTTCTAGAGTCCTGGAACCCCCCAAGGCGCTTTACAACACAATCAGTCATTCACCCATTCACACACACATTCACACACTGGTGGGGATGAGCTACAATGTAGCCACAGCTGCCCTGGGGCGCACTGACAGAGGCGAGGCAGCCGAGCACTGGCGCCACCGGTCCCTCCGACCACCACCAGCAGGAAACGTTGGTTAAGTGTCTTGCCCAAGGACACAACGACAGCGACAGACTGAGTGGGACTCGACCCTGCAACCTTCCGATTACGGGGCGAGCACTTAACTCCTGTGCCACCGTCGCCCCATCGGCTAAAATGTAGCCGATATAACCGGTATGTGCTTGTCCTTCATTTAAATAAATAGCAGCTATAAAGATGCGCCGACTCTGGCTTTGAGGGATAATAATTTCCAACCTGTCTGACAGATTTAGGCTGATTTCCTGGGAAACAATCGGTGCATTTCTCTTAACAACCAACGACATTAAGAGATAAACATGTCATTTTTAACATACAGGTGCTGGCCAGTAAATTAGAATATCATCAAAAGGTTGAAAATATTTCAGTAATTCCATTCAAAATGTGAAACTTGTACATTATATTCATGCAATGCACACAGACCAATGTATTTCCAATGTTCATTACATTTAAATTTGATATTCATAAGTGACAACTAATGAAAACTCCAAATTTGGTATCTCAAAAAATTAGAATATTCTGAAAAGGCTGAATATAGAAGACACCTGCTGCCACTCTAATCAGCTGATTTACTCAAAACACCTGCAAAGGCCTTTAAAAGGTCCCTCAGTCTTGTTTTGAAGGCACCACAATCATGGGGAAGACTTCTGACTTAACAGCTGTCCAAAAGACAATCATTGACACCTTGCACAAGGAGGGCAAGACACAAAAGGTGATTGCTAAAGAAGCTGGCTGTTCGCAGAGCTCTGTGTCCAAGCACATTAACAGACAGGCGAAGGGACGGAAAAAATGTGGTAGAAAAAAGTGTACAAGCTCTAGGGATAACCGCACCCTGCAGAGAATTGTGACGACAAACCCATTCAAAAATGTGGGGGAGATCCACAAAGAGTGGACTGCAGCTGGAGTCAGCGCTTCAAGAACCACCACGAGGAGACTCATGAAAGACATGGGATTCAGGTGTCGCATTCCGTGTGTCAAGCCACTCTTGAACAAGAAACAGCGCAAGAAGCGTCTCGCCTGGGCCAAGGACAAAAAGGACTGGACTGATGCTGAGTGGTCCAAAGTTATGTTTTCTGATGAAAGCAAGTTCTGCATTTCCTTTGGAAATCAAGGACCCAGAGTCTGGAGGAAGAGCGGAGAAGCACAGAATCCACGTTGCATGAGGTCCAGTGTAAAGTTTCCACCGTCAGTGATGGTGTGGGGTGCCATGTCATCTGCCGGTGTTGGCCCACTCTGTTTCCTGAGGTCCAGGGTCAATGCAGCCGTCTACCAGGAAGTTTTAGAGCACTTCATGCTTCCTGCTGCTGACCAACTTTATGGGGATGCAGACTTCACCTTTCAACAGGACTTGGCACCTGCACACAGTGCCAAAACCACCAGCACCTGGTTCAAGGACCATGGTATCCCTGTCCTTGATTGGCCAGCAAACTCGCCTGACCTTAACCCCATAGAAAATCTATGGGGTATTGTGAAGCGGAGGATGCAATACGCTAGACCCAACAATGCAGAGGAGCTGAAGACGACTATCAGAGCAACCTGGGCTCTCATAACACCTGAGCAGTGCCACAGACTGATCGAGTCCATGCCACGCCGCATTACTGCAGTTATTGAGGCAAAAGGAGCCCCGACTAAGTATTGAGTGCTATACATGCACATTCTTTTCATGTTCATTCTTTTCAGTTGGCCAACATTAGAGAAACAAACATTTTTTCATTGGCCTTTAGAATATTCTAATTTTCTGAGATACCAGATTTGATGTTTTCATTGGTTGTCACCTATAAATATCAAATTTAAATGTAATGAACATTGGAAATACATTGGTCTGTGTGAATTGCATGAATATAATGTACAAGTTTCACGTTTTGAATGGAATTACTGAAATATTTTCAACCTTTTGATGATATTCTAATTTACTGGCCAGCACCTGTATTTATTAGTTCCTAAATAAAGCAGCAGAACATAAATGCAAATAATAAATGTTTTCATGTATGCTCCCCTATTTAGGACAACAGCGATACATTCTGCATATACTGTATCTAATAAGCAAACTACAGGAAATGGTCAAACCAACGATGAAAAACAGAGAAAGGCTTAGATCTGTAATCTTTAATTCAGTTGTTTCCAAAGCTGGTGTCACCATTTCTCTCCAGCCACCTCCTTTTATTCTTACCATCATCACAACGTAACTCATGCACGTATCCATCGCCGTCATCATCAGCATCATTCTCCTCGTAGTGCTGGCCCATGCCGCGAGAACCCTTACCATCCAGGAAGCTGAGGTGTGCACAGCAGGAGGTGGTCAGGAACTCCGACAGCTTTCCCGTCTGGGTCCTACAGAGGAGGAAGAAGGTCTCGGAGTCAATACCGGATGTGGTTTGGTGGTCAGAACAAAACTCAGTAAAAAATAAAGAACCTTGCTCCTCCAAAATATCCATCCTGCAGCTTCTTCAGTGTTGCCAAGACTGCGGGGTCCAGGTCTGTGTGATCTTCAGCTGGAGTGGAGAAAAGGAGCAGAAATGTGGACAACAACAGTTAAATAGATAGGAATGTGACTGGTTTAGCACATATATAGGTTGATTCATGGAGGACAAACTCAAAGACCCACTCAGCATGCTCTGTGAAATGGGGAACGTGACGGTAGGTCGTCCGGTTATCCTCCATCTGGATGAGAGGTAGGCGATTTCAGTCCTCAGCATCTCTACTATCATTTTGTTGTCTAGCGCCAGGTAGAACTGCTGGTGGTCTATGAACTGCAGGGTTTCAGAGGTTAAACAAAAGGGACGCAAAAGCAAAAATTCCAGTAAATTGTTCTGTTTTAAGACATTTCTGTAGTACGGTGAAGGTTTTATGATATCCTCAGGTCTCTAGGGAACATGATCAGATCAGACAGCCCCAGACATCCGACTATAGAGAAAAAACAAAAACCATCAGAATTCCGACTAAAATCCTCCGTCAGACGAAACTGGCTCTAGAAAAACGTAACAGTCGCTACGTTTACATGTAGTGTCAGAAAATCTAACTATTGCCTCAGTCTGGCAGAAGCAGAACTGAACCAGGTTATGTCTAATCGAGCTAAGGTACCCCGATAACTCTGTTAGAAAACCGAAACAACGTCCGACCGACGAAACGGACTCAGGAAAAACAGACGAAACACTGAAACGTCAAACAAAGAGAGTCAACGAGAGTGTGTGTGTGGTCTGAAGAAGCGAGTAAACTAAAATACAACGAGTCACTATATGCAGAACATCTTGAACTAATAAACAAGTTTAATAACATGCAGTAGCATGTATAAACCAGTAACATTTACCACTGAATAGGAAGACTAACAGGCACTGATTAGTCTTAATGAGAGTCAATTATGCACGGTGAAGTCGGCATGAGACAAACTGAACAGGATAAAACATTTAAAACGTAATTAAATGTACTTCTTGACGCATGAATCACACACAGGGCAATAATAAAGCAGGTATCTGTTGTATTTCAGCAGATTGCAGCCCTCAAAGCAGATCAAGCACGGAAATAAGGCAGTTTAAAGGCTTTCAGACAGAATCGATTCAGAATCTTTATTAAGAAAAATCTCAGTTTGGACGTGAATGGATTTATTCTGGCACCTATACTCAACTGGATTAAGTGATGATTACGCTATGTTTGGGTCACCAGAAGGCCACATCAGTTGGTGTTGAATTTTTGAAAAGTTGACGTTTCCAGATGAAATCGTTGCTGGTGTATCTTAAGTAAAGAAATTTCAAATACATATAAATACAGAAAAAATACATAAATAAATTCAATGTTTAAAAAATAAGTCACTTTCTGGTGAGACTGTTTCTTCCATTCGTTTCTCTGTTGCTGTGTTATGCTTCACAGACTTTTGTGACACGACTGTGACAAACGTAATAATTTAAATAAAATAAAAACACCATACAATGGCGCCACCTGCAGGATGCTTCTCTCTGAGGCACTTCCTGAGACTTTTTTTTGTTACTGACACCCTTTAGTCAGAAGTCTGAATGATTTGTGATGCTATTGTCTCTAGAGGTGTGAGTCTTCACTTGTCTCCCGATTCGATTACGATTATTGGGTCAACGATTCAATTCGATTCGAAATCCCGATGCATCACGATGCACCACGATTATTTCATATTGATTTGTTTTCATCGATAAATAGAAGATGTCAGATAACTGCTTTTTATTATTATTTTTTTTATCAAAAACGTAATTGACACAACCTGCCATCCCTCAAAAGCTCTCCATTCACAACAGGTTAGGACAAAACATTCAAACATTTAAGAAGATGTAACAAAGTAAAACATCTGTTTCCTCATTCAACACCACGCCTCAGGCTGAGAAAAACACGCTTTGCAAAAACTCACAAAATCTAAAAAAGTACTGAAAACCTACAGGACACATAATATAATAATAAAATCCATAATGGGTTCATATATGAGCGTTTAATGTCTCTGAGCAGCTCTAGAGTTAAATATTTATGCTGCAGTTGAAGGGTGTCAGAAATAACTCCAAATGAAATGTTTGACTTAATTTTATTTGAACCCAGTGGTTCATTTCTGAAATGTTGGAGAATGAATCAAGTTCTGTTTGATGCAGAAAATAAAACACAAAACAAATTCTACACTTCCAATAATATTTAAGATGTGTGTTTTATTCTTTCTGATAATAACACCAGCAGAAGGCTGTGGGCTGGATTAGGATTAAATTACCCAGCTGATGGATCTCCTTCACTAACCAGCTAACTACAAACCTTTCCTGTGTGACCCTCATGTCCATGCTGTCTCTGGAGGAGCAGATAGGAGACAAGATCTCCTGTAACCTAAAATGAACCAAAGCTTCCTCCCAGTTTCTCTTTAAGCTGAATTTAACATCAGTTTATCATCATGAAACAAAAGAATAAAGTGGAACAAGAACTTCTATTTCTCTCTCCTTTTAACTTCTCCGTGTCCCTAAATAAAAGAGACAGACGATCACGCGGCAGCCGCCGTCACTGACCCCGCCCCCTCCCCGAGACGGGATCTCCCCACATTACAACAAGCAGTCTGACTGAGCGCTTCCAGGAGAAATAATAATTAAATTATGAAAATAATAACGTGTGTTTGGAGCATCGGTTTGGAGGAGCGTCCTCCGATCCTCTCTCTTGTGTGAGCAGACAGTGTCTCTCTCTCTCTCAGTCGCTGATCGAGCGAGCGGAGCGCGCCGCGTGACAACCCGCTCAATTTACATAATTCACGGCCCAAATCCAACAGAACCGGTCGGGCTGATTCGGTTCCGGTTCGGTGTCAGGCTACAACTCTAGCGCTCAGCCCTGCAGTACCACATTAAGGCTGAGGTAAATGTGGAGGACGCTCACTCTGATAGATTTGGATGCAGCGCTGGTGCCGCCGTTCAAAAACCAAAACTACATTCCACTATAATCGATTATGGCGTACTCTTCTACGACGCAGAATCGTTTATGTCCGCATCGCGATGCATCGATTATTAGACTATTTTCCTCAGCTCTCATTGTCTCTATGGTCTGATGTTCAATGAAGTTTCTCTGAGACCTGAGGATTGGCTAAAATATACTAGAGTCTAGTCTGAAAATAAAACCTAATGTCAGTCAATTTGTAATTTACCAATAACAATGTAGAAATCACAGCAGTATTTGTCTCTTATTAACCTGAGGTGTGAAAGCAAAGATGGTGTTTCTGATGATGTAGAACTTGGAAGTCCCCAGCACTCCGATCCTCCTGTAGGGCCGCCCCGTCAGCCCGAGCCTCGGGTTGCGACCTGAAAAGGAGAAGGTGAAGAAAGGGGCGAGGTGAAGTTTGTGGAGCGTCAGGAATGACCGGGTGGGATCGGGCTGTACCGAGCCTGGCGTAGATATGGCTGAGGACTCTGGAGGGCTGCACGTGGAGGGGATGGATATCAGCCACAGTCTCCACGTCTATGCCGTTCTTCATCAGCAGATCCTTAATCTCTTCCGTCTCAGCCAGAACCGACACTAGAGGGAAAAGTTCAATCGTTTTCTGGAGGATCAGACAGAAGGAAGATGTCCTCTGCTGTAGACTAACCCTGAACGACCACATCAGGTTTAGGGATGGTGGAGAAACGGCGGTTAAGAGGGTCGATCTCTCCAGGGGCCAGAAAACCCTGAAAGTAAATGAATAAAATACATAAATTGTTTAAAAGCATAAAGATTTAAGGATATCTACTGGTATTAGATGTTTGTTGGTCACCTCAGATAAGAGTTTTCCCAGGATGTATAGAGACTGTCCCCATTTCAGAGGACATTTGCCCATAGGGATCCTCTCCACTGAGTGAGGGTTCATGTACTCCTCCTCCACCTGATCAATATAAAAACACATAAAGATATAAATTTTCACAGGGTAAGACAGATCATCTGATGGAGACAGCTGGAAGTGATGGGTTTTGGGATTTGACCTTATCAGGAGGAACGCTGTAGAGCTCCGGCAGCAGTTTGATCCCATCTTTCTGTTTGATCAGGATCCCCTCCAGAGCTTCCTGGTATTCCTGAACCTGAAATATATCCAGTTTGCTCTGTCATCCACATGAAAGTGAAAGATAAATGGCACCAACACAGATTCTTTTAAAAACTGGAACCAATTGGGGTCTGGGGTGGTCACTTTGCCTTACGGTGGATGGGGATGCCTGCTCATCACTACCCCAGTAAGAACAGGACCAGCTCTGGTGTCTAGAAATGTTTGTCAGCAAAGATGCTGATGATTTGGGGAAATACTGCCACCTACAGACTTGGCATGCCTTTGAATGTGCTTCACATTCACTGGATTATCTTGCTGGAAAGAATCTTGGGTGTGGATCCATGTTTTTTTTTTTTTTTCCTAGAAAGGTGGGGGAGGAGGTTCGGTTTTACAAAAACCGTTACATGTGTACATGACGTTACATTTGACTCTTATCACATTTGACTTTGGTCCATAGAGAAGTTCATGGTGGACTCAAAGACTCCCAAACCATTAGTCCTCCACCACAGTGCTGACAGCTGGTATGAGCTGTTTACGTTTTTGTTAAGTGGAGAAAACCAAACATTTCTTAAATGTCATCCTGTCAAAATAGACAAGTCCAGAAAACTCATTTCTGTACTTGTGTTATTTTTATTTTTGTGCTTTACAATCAAAAACTAAACATTAAAGATGCTAAATGAGGTTCGTAAAGTCAAAAATGCTGGATTAAAGGGAAGAAGAGGAGTTTGTTTTTACAGTTCATGGTCTGATTTGAACACAACAGAAGTTATTGTCCACCATTTGTCTAACATGAATACTTCTGAGAAGATTGGTGACTTTCCTGAATTGCTTCTACAAAAGGGTGGACTCCAGACTGTCTGAGAAGGTCCCATAAGCCATCTCAGACTGATGGGGGGAAACAGTTAGTTCTCTAAATCCGCCCACGCACTGGACATTAGACCGTTACTATAAACTTAAAAGGTATGTCTCAAAAGGTTCTCTCTTTTTCTGCATGAGCTGCAGGATAAATAGCAGTTCAGTACAATTAAAAACTTGCATATTCTTTTAAGAATGGTCACCATCAGTTAAAGCTCAATGAAATACAGTGAAGTTTATTTTCCTTGGTGTTAACACACACCTTTATGCTGCAGACCAGGGGTGTCCAACTCGAACTCGCTCTGGGCAGAAATGAAACTCTGGGACAGAGTCGAGGGCCAAACTTAATATTTTTTGAAAAAGTGACGGTAAATTTGCACATTTTCTTTATTAACATATAATTTTGAACCTTTTCATTTGGAAACAAACTTATTTCTGCATTAACACTGAATGTGGAATAACCAAATTACACACGAGCAAGTCAGTTTTAAATAAAAGGCATCAGTGGTATTCATTACTTGTGGTATAATCAGCATTTTTAAAATCTATTCAGGATTAATGTTTTCTTGTTTATTCATTATTCTTATTTTTTATTCTCCTTTATTTCTCCTGTAATACGTGTCATCGCTGCTGTGACGTCTAGCTTTCCCCACTGAGGAACAATAAAGGGATTTTCTATTCTATTCATCTATCTGCAGCCTTTCCACTTCCTGTTTACTGTAGGTTAAATATTTTCTCACGGGCCAACAACAAAATAAAAGTATCATTTTATCTTAAATGAAAATGCAACATCTCACCTGTTAACTTTCATGTTTTGGAGCAGAAAAAGAGCATAAAACCAACATATTTAAAGCTCAGTTTGCTCCACTGGTTTACTGTGATGCTCACCTGTTCCAGCCAGATACCTGCATCATGGGGTTGATCTGAGCTGAGGAGACTCCTGTTGTTTTGTTCATCTTCATCATAATAATGACAACATTAGATGACAACAGGTGCTCACATAGGTTTGTGCTGATGAACATGTCTGAGCAGCTTGACCACGTTGTTGTGTGTCGGGGAGGAAACACATACAGCAGCCACAGAGTCATGTTGATTTGAGCGTGTCGCTGCTCGCTGGAGTCATATCAGCTCTGTCTGAAAGTTAGTTGGAAAACTTTCTCTTTCAGTCGTGAACACATTACTGAGCGGTTAAAATCTCCGTTTCTGGGCTTCAACGTCGGAAAATAGCTGAGTGAACTCGGCGCTGAGTGAGAGGAGTGTTTCGTTTGTCCGAGACAGCGGAGCTGCAGACACCGGCAGCAGACGCTGGAAAAAACCCAAAGGAGGGGGCGTGTCGGCTCCGCGCTAACGCCGCAAAGCATCATGGGAGTTGTAGTATTTGCGGTAAAATCGGCCAGCGGGTCAGTTTTAATATATTTTTGATATTTATCTCGCGGGCCACATAAAAATGCTCCGCGAGCCAGGCCTTGTGTCTGACACGTGTGCTCCAGACCAACAAACTACCAACACTCCTGCTGATAGTGATCCCTTAAGTGTGTTTGATTAGCAGCATTTGGCTGATGTTTATTAATCCGTATTCAAATTTTAAAGGTGTGCTATGCATCTATATTTTAGACGGTGAAATAATCAGACTACTTGTGCGTTCAGGTGTGACTTACTCACCTGCTCATGACTGTTGCTGAAGATCCCATCCAGGATGAGGTACGTCCAGAACAGAGGCCACTCACACTCAATGTTCTCAAACAGCTTCAGCTCTGCAGACTCATAATACAGCCGGTTTGGATCCTTTACAGGAGCAGAAAGACAAAAATACTTCAGTGTAGAAAAGATTCCATCTTTACAAGTTACAACATTATTAAGAACCTCTCATTTTGTTGATTAAAGTGTTGAAAATCTAACAAACTCTAGCTGATTTCTTTATTTAAAACCCTGTTTCCTTTGTACAACAAGATATATATAAATATATATATATATATATATATATATAAATACAATATAAAAATATATATAAAACTATATATTTAAAATCTGTATATATATATATTGTATATATATATAATATAATATATTATATATATATACAATATATATATATACATATATATATATATATATATATATATATAATTTTGTTTAAACTATTAAAATTCTTTTTTGTTTTTTTCCCACAAGACACAGTTAGTCGGTCTGTCGCAGCAGCCATTTGTATTCATTCAGCGTCCTGTATTTTTATAGCTGCCTCCTCCTACTAAAGAGCTGAATGCTTTAAATGACCTGTTCTTTCCTTCAACAGCCCATAAAACTCTAACCGTAGCTCTACCAACCACAAACACAGAAACTCCTGTCCACTTCGTAGCTAAAATGGTGACAAGTGTGTGTGTTTTACTTTTTACCTCTTTGGGAGTTTTGTGTCCGTCTCTGAGGAACCTGCAGCAGCCGTAGCGACCCTGAACAGAGAGCAGAAACCAGTAGAGACTCGCTGGCTAAACAACGTGTCACAAGTCTGTTCAACAAGCATTTAAATCATCTGCATCTTGGATTGAGTTGTCAGTATTGATAAGTTTTTTTGTTTAGAGAAGCAAGGATTCTGGTTGGGGGAAATCAAAACCGATTTCAGATTTTTCTGTCCAGCTCTGATCTGCCAACTCTGACTCATCTCAAAGAAACTTTCTCACATAATACTTTAAAAACTATAATTCTGGAGTTCTAGAAGATCTGTTACTGTTGGCATAAATTAGCATTTGGCAGTGGTGCGTTCACAGATAAAAACATAAACCCCGTTTTTTCTGTTTCATCCTGAATATAGGTTGATTCGGATCACCAGACAGTATTTTAGTGTTTTTCTTTCTAAATAATGAATATTTAATGTGAGATGTGATGTTTAACTTACTGAAATCCTCATAGAAGAACAGAATCTGCTCCAAAGGTTTACCTGCAGTTTGGAGATGATCTCCTCCTTGGTCATGGTGACGATGCTCATGTCCTCCACAGCAAAGGCGGGGTAGGTGAGGATGGCCAGGATTCCAGCATCCACCTCTTTAGAGTTGGACGCTCTGGGTAACATGGACGTTAGGATGGACTGATGACGGGAGGACAAACCAAAACATGGAAATTTGACTTAAGCTTGGGAATAGAAAAGTAATGGCTATGGTTAAAGGGAAAGGCATAACGTTGTCACAAAAAGGAATGGAAGTCAATAAAGGGTTCCCACAAGTACAGAAAGACAAGTGTGTGTGTGTGTGTGTGTGTGTGTGTGTGTATGTGTGTGTGTGTGTGTGTGTGTGTGTGTGTGTGTGTGTGTGTGTTTTTACCTGGCAGTGCTGTATGTCATCTGCCAGCGCGTGGACAACAGACCCAGGTCCTCCTTTTGCACCAAAAAGGTTGAGTTCATCCAGCGCCTCCAGAGCTGCCTGGAGAACAGAGCTCAGCCTTCATCATCATGAAACAGGGTCACATGTTGCACTGGGTGACTATTTCGCTTTGTCTTTAAATGAACCCAAACTGCAGAAGCAGTGCATGAAAAAAACCAAGTATATCTATACTGCTAAGAGAACTTCAGCAAGTGAAACCAGCTCTAAAGGGCCATTCCCATCTGTACCGGGTAGCCCCAGTCGGCCCCAGCCTGGCCCGGTTGATTCCACACATCCTTGCCTTAAGCCCACGTGGGCTGATTCTACCCACCAATCAGAGGCTTGCTCTAATGGAAGGTGTGAATTTGCTGTCAGCAGTGGGTGTGTTGGCCCTGGTCGGTCTGAAGCAGACCCCCTCGAGAAGAGGGCTGAGAATGAGCCTTGGGTGGCCTGGAAAAATACCAGGCCACCCAGATATGTAAACAACCTATGCTACCCGGCCCGGGCCGACCCGGTACAGATGGGAATGGCCCATAATATAGTCAGATTCGGGCCATCTTGGTCTGGAGCATACGGGTGTGTGTTAACTGCAAATTAATTAGAAGTTTCTATATTTTCTTTGGTCCATCATTCTAGCAGTTGAAATGAGTAACGTGAATATCTCAGCTACAAACTGTAGCTTAATATCTGTTAATTGCTACAGCCAATCAGCTGCAGCCCCCACCTAGAATTGGACTGGCCCCAAAAGTTCATCAGTTGTAGATGCAAGAATAACTTTCCAACAGTTCAATTAAACATCTGCTCTGCAAATCACAAGAGCATTTAATATCATTCCAGACACCCCGGCTCTTAAAAGAACCCACCACATTGTAAGCGGTGTCGAGTTGGTTATTTGGGCTAAAACCTCTTATATAACCACATTTCTGAGTGAGACGTGGGGCTTTATCTGTGGTTTTACTAGATGGCATCTGCTCTTTTGTATTGATGCTTTTTACATTATAACATCCTGCATGGGTCATATTGAACTAATTGTGCGCCGCCATCGTGAGCGCTAAAGAAAACGTTGGGGACGTCCTGCAGCTGTGCCGGTTTCCAAAGTCCCAAATTAAACTGCGTTAGCCACAGTGAGTACTTTCTGTGCTGTGTTATTTCTGAGTGAGAGGCCATTCTCAGATGACAGAGACATGATACCTCCTGTTCACTGCCAACCCAGGACAGCCACGGAGTTGGAATAAACAATTATGTTAACGTGTTTTACACCATGTTTATCAGTCATTCTGATGTTTATTTTGGCCTAAAAATTTGATCGGACGGAAATCACACCAACTTAAAAAATATTTTTAGCTGTAAGCATCATTCTGTTTTCGTATATCAACACTGAAACTGAGACCCTCTGCTGCTGCTGCAATAGATTCATCACCAAAACAAAGCTGTCACATCTGATTCAGAGCCACTTAGGAGAGCTGAGGTCATTAAAATGTCAGAGTAAAGGCCGCTGAAGTGACAGAGCAGCCTCCCCTGTGCCAGAGATTTCCACTGGACCACCTGTTCTGCTGCAGAGCTCTCTTCGACTGAGATTTAGCCACAACAAACTGGAAAACAAGCAGTTGCACTTTGCACTCACTTATATTACGAAGTTCTACATTCTGCGTTCTCCAGCGGGTGGCGCTGGTTCAGGTGCACTTCGAGATTGGTGGTACACACCGACTTTGTAGGAACACACGCTGCATTGTTTCCCACATTTAAAGAGCCAAAAGACGTCCACAGAACTCAACTGTTTGGGCTCTTCAACTATAAAACCTTCAGCCGTTAGCACGTCTAGCGGCTATTGTTTCAGTGTTACGACCTGTCTTGTTACAGTTTTTTTCGATTGCTAAAACTCAAAAAGCAAAAATGAGGCACAATTTTCACAACCTCTACTTCTGTTCCCAATCGCTTGACTCAGTTTATCACTACTTAAGATTGCCTTATCATATTAGAACTCTGATTTTCCTCCTTTACACTCTGATGTCAGTTTCACATTGCCTTGCTGTCAAAACACAACACACAATTTTCAGGTTTACACACACTTTCCACATAAATTCTCAAAGCTTCAATCAACAACACACAAATATTCAAATCTCTAAACTGTCGGGTCTGGCGAGCAATTTGCAATCAGGGACTGCAGCATAAAAGAAAGTTTCCACAAGGCTGCCCAGGTGTATGAGTGGTTTCAGGACCACCCACGGGTTTTCATTTTATACCTTCCACCTTATTCCCCCTTCCTCAATCCCACTGAGGAGTTTTTTTCAGCCTGGAGGTGGAAGGTGTACGAAAGGGATCCACAGAGCAAGGTCCCACCGCTTCAAGCCATGGAGGAGGCTTGTAGAGATGTGGCCTTTGAGGCCTGTCAGGGCTTCATGAGGCACTCGAGGCGGTACTTCCAGCGCTGTTTGGACCAGGAGGAAGTTGATGAGGCCCTCTGGCCAGACAGAGACCGGCGGCATGATGCTCCATGATTATGCTTGGGATGGGGGGGGGGGGGGTTTAACTGTAAAAATAAAACTTTTTGTCTCAAATTTTGTGTGATGTCTAATGTTTGTCTCAGAGAAAAGTGGGCACTGTCGTATATTCAGTGTATAATTCATTGTGTTCCCTTTCGACAATTGTGTTTTCAGTTTTGCTCTTCAGTGTTCTTTCCATGCTTGGTAGTGTTCACCCACAGGCTACTTGTGTTTAAGCAATGAATGGTATGTGTGTGTCATGTGAAAATGTGGCTGTGTTTACCAAATGAAAACACGTGCTCCATTTTGGGAACATGTTACGATACGTGGTGGCAGGGTTTTGTTGCAAAGGGAAGCCACGGTTTAGGAGTTTGTGTGTTATGTTTGGGGTTTTGTGTGTGCAGTTTTGAAAGAGACGTACAGTTTTGAAAAACGCGTTTTAGCAATCAAAAAAACTGTAAAACGAGAAGTTTATCTTGTTAAAGAGAGAAAATCATTTTGTTACAATGAGAAACTTCTCAGTCAAAAAGAAAAAGTTAAGTTACCAAGAAACCTATTTTCTAATCAGATAATTTCTTGATATGAGAAACTTATCCTGTTAAAAAGGCTAACATTATCTCGTTATTATGAGATAGAACTGCTCCTTCATTTATTTCTGCCTCTGACAGCAATATGCTTCCATACAAAAATAAGCTTTATATTAAAAAAAATATCCAGTTACAGACCTCTGAGGTACTCCGCAGGTTAAATACACTAAAATGAGGCGCCATCATTAGAAAAATAAAAAAACTACTTTGATCAGAGCACGCATCAGTGCTGACCTTGGCTGTGCCTATGGAGCTGGCATTGATCTCAGTGATGCCCTGGTTTGTTTTGTCCCCTCTTTCCCACATCCCATAATCCTGTGGGAAACAAAAGAAGATAATCAGACACTTCAAATAATAAAAACAAAAACCCCCTTTAAACATTGTGTATAAGAACGGATGCACTTACAGCTACTTTATAAGCTGCCTCAATGTAAAACATGAGATTCTGAACTACATCCACCTCATCTTGAGTGTAGATAATATGCAGACCTGCAACAAACAGAGACAATCACACAGGCATGCAGGACTGATTAAAAAAAATAACTCAGACCAAAATGAGGTTTTTTCATACCAGACGCGGTCATCTGAGCGAGGAAGAGCAGGAAGAGGGAGGTGGCGTCGACCTGCAGGTGACCCCACTCATCGTCCCCGACAACAGGGGCACATGTCCTGGTGTTGTACTTGGCGTGGAGAGAGTCTGAGGTACTTCGGCTGTACTTAAACTTCTCTACCTTGTCTAGCTGTGGAGTGAGAGGAACATTTTCAAGATATTTTTGTTTAAAAATGTAGATAATCGTTTAAAATCCCATTTCTGAGTAAGAAATGCCTCTACAAGGAAGGAAGTGATCAGTGAGCCAATTAATTAGATTCATCTCTAGGATGTTTCAAGTCTTATTAAGAGAACCCATTCCACCCTTGTGTCAATCAGACAGCACTTCCTGTAACAAGGGGGCCTTTTATGGAAGGAGTGCTTATTTTTGGCACAACACCAGCAGACCCAATAGGAATTTGAGCAAATTCTGAGACTAAAACAGCACATACCTGTAAAAATGTCATGAATGTTAAAGGGACTTTATGGAGTTTTGAATTTTTATGCTCGCGATTGCCCCCTCAGGCCAAAAGCGTAACGGCAGCTTCAATAGTAGGCTCGTGCACGAGGCACGCATGCTGTACGTGCACACTCCTTAACGAAAATAACAGCTGAGACAATCCCGTGTGTGTGTGTGTGTGTGTGTGTGTGTGTGTGTGGCCTGGAGGACAGAGGACAGGAGAACGTGCAGCTAATTAATTAAATAATTTGGTTCTGTACCTTTCTCTTCAGCACAGCCGACAAAGGTTTAAGATGGGTCAGTCCTCCTGCATGCTCTTGAAAAATTGTTCCAAAATGAAAGTTGAACCCACATCTTTTTTATCTGTGAATTCAATGCCGTTCGGCGAGTCTCAAATAAAAATTTGGGCATCTTACTGTAAAAAATATATCATTAATGTAAAAAAGAAACTCAAAATAACTTATGTTCACATCCAGAATCGAACCCGGGTCTTCCGCACGGGAACCCGCCGTCTTTCTAGGTGTGCTATAGCACCAGTGAAGTCTTTTGTATCTGTAACATTTATATCTTTAATGACAGCTGAAACAATGTTCAAAGAACAGTTCGGAGCGAAAATGGCTATTTTGTTGCTAATTTGCAGGAAATATCTAGAAGAAAGTAGCTAAGGGTCCTCAGAAATGTAGCTAGGTTCATCACTAGGCGTTAGGAACAGCGACAAAGTCGCTGAGTTGGCACTACCTCACTCTCTGCTGCTAAAGCTACGGATAGCAAATGCTACGGGCTGTGCCTGAGCGTGAACGTGCATGAAGCAGTCTGCTCGACCCGAGCAGCTCTCTTTTTCTGTGATTTTACAGAAAAACAGGCAATCACAGTAAAAATGCCAGGGCTCATTCTACAGGACCAGGGCATTGCAGGAGAATGTATGAAGAAGACATTTATTATTTCTGTACATGTCTTGGCTGTCAAACTTCCATAATGCCCCTTTAACAAATGAGGAAGATAACTGTGAAATCGCCAGGCTTTAACATTAAATCTGGATTTACAGTTTTTAGTTGGAAGTTTTAAAAAGCTTTTAAAGAACAAGGTAGAAAAATTTTTTGAAGAAAAAATATTTTGTGTCTTTTAAAGTAAAAAAGTTTAAAAAATGTTTTAACATTTAATATTTACAAAAAGTAAACCAACCTTTAATTAATAGCCCTAATGTTTAATGGTTCTTTTTTTATTCTCTGAGTGTTTTTCAAAGAAGTATGGTGTTAGTTTGGCCGACCAGTCGTTGGAGGCAATCCATTAGCAGAGTCGCATCACAAACCAGAGGACAGGAAAATGGTGTTTTCTTTATTTTTGCTGTGCAGAGTTCTGCATCCCACACACCTGAAAAACCTTAACACTAAATAGAAAAGCTAATAAATATATACAATCATAGTCACTTTAAAATATTTACACTAATATTAAAATAACCCAGTCAGTCTTCCAATCATACCCCTCTGGAACCTATAAAAGTTCCACACGCCCTCAAGGACTATTTTGCTCACACACCTGCTGACAGGAAACAGGAAAGGTAAGCACACGCCCACAGTACACATGTTTGTTCCACAGCCATTTCCTTGTCCAGCTCTTCATACCAATAACTATCTTACTTTTCACTTTACAGGGTCACCTGCTAATCAATATACAAATAAATAAACTTCAATACCTCATGAATGTGTCTCACTTCAATTATAAGATCAGTAGATCTGTCAAGTATTTAGGTGTGGCAGTGATCCACTGTCACATATGGATATAAATCTGTGTCTCATCAGCATAAATGATACACAGATTTAATCTGAACCCAGTCTTTAATCCATCTGCTCATTTATTATTGTTTAAAATAATAAACAGCTTTACTTTAATGCTTACTCCCACTTTTCACCACCACTTTGCTGCTACTATGCCAGGCATGTCCATGGCCCAAGGGCCATTTATCCTCTGAGTGATTTTGTGTGGCCCCCCATCTGCATTTCTACAATGACGAATTTTCTCTCTCCAGTAGGCTGTTTGTTTATATTGTGGCATTACGTTTAAATGTGTACTAACATGCTTGCTTTTGACCTATTTTGAGGAGTACAAATACAAATAAATCACCATAAAATTATTTTTGCATTAAAAAACATAATAATAATCACATTCTTGTGGCCACAATGACTATTGATGATTTGGCCCTGGACACCCCTGTGCAAATCAAACACTGGACTACTGGGGTGTCGGATTAAACCCAAGCCAATGTTTTCAATTAATGACAAAAATATCTAAAGAATAAATACGAATTTGAGTTTCCAGGATTTCAATCTAAACTCGTTAGCATCCTGCATTTGGATTCTCGCCAAAAACTGGTTGGTGTGGTTTGTAAAGTAGTTTGCATTGATCGAGCTGTCACAGCAGTTTCTAAGTTTGATACTTTTGTACTTTTCAGATTGAAATACAAATGTTTTCACAATAATCAAGTTACATTTTTCTGAACTTGCTGTGGTCCTAAAAAGACTCCAACTACATCCTCTTCAGGTTTCTACCAATTCTGTCTTTCTCAGAATCCTGCGATTACCATTTTCTTGTTCTTGTTTGTCCTTCCTTTTCATATTTTAATCTAAATTTTTTTTCCCCCTTTTCCCCATTTTTTTATTATGATATCTTTTTACTGTGTTTCCTCCCGCTTGGAGAACTAAATGACCCCCCACCACCAACAAAGCGACGGAGTCATGGAGAAATGCCAGGGCTGAGTTTACGTCCCAGTCCATCCTTGTGTGTGTGTGTGTGCGTATGTGTGTGTGTGCGTATGTGTGTGTACATGTAAAACTGAAACAAGAGACCAAAGAGGAAATAGCTTGTAAAGTCATCTTACCTGCCTCATTATGCACTGAAGGACACCTCTCATCAGCTTCACCACACTCTGTAGAGACAGATACGATGAAATCTAAACACCGTCCTTGTTCTAACAAGAGACAAAAATCTGATCTCCCTGGTCATTGAACTCATCATTACTAAGTACTAAAACTAAACGCACACAATAAAAGATTTTTCATGTTGACATTTTTACTTCAAGAATCATATATTTTTTTATTTAATTAGAAAAAATTTAGTTAGCAACCCTCATTCTTTGAGATGGAGCAGAGTTAGCCAAAAGCAATCAGAAAGACCTGTTCCAGCTCATAGGCCTTGGCCTTGTCTTCGTCCCTGTCTGCGTTCTTCCTGTAGGCCAAACTGAGGGCCCACACCGACACGATGCTGTAGACGTTGTCTCTGACCCAGGCGTCCGGCTGATCGGTGCTGCCCGGGAGAAGACCCGTTACCGGATCCTATTACAAAAAAGGGTCCAAATACAAACAAAACTCAATAACAATACACTGATGGACAGCTTATATCAACTCTGTCAGACGGAAAAATTCAACCCAATATTTGATGTGAAGATTTTGTTTAGCAATCTATAAATCCAAATGTAAACTGTGTTACTTTCTGTCTAGGTTGATCTTATTGCGCGAAAGACAAAATCCCGTACTAGATCCCAAAGGCAGGCAGACAGTAATCATAAAATGACAAACCTCTACCCCCAAAACAGGAGTGTGAGAGCTGTTTCACAAGAACAACTCACAAGGCATTCTTTCATACCATAGACCACAGCAGATTTACTGAATGATTGAATTAAATCTTTAAATATTTAAAGGGATGCGTTGGTAGTTATGGCTTGCTTTTAGCACCCCCTAGTGTCCAGTTAGTAAAACTAAAAGTGGAACTTATCTCCTTGCTGTGCATTCATCTTTTTAACACCTTAGACAGCTGAAACGTCTCCCCAGACTTCCTTAGTGTCTACAGGAGTGATTGATCACTAGAATAAACAAATCAGCTGTGGAAACATGCTGGAAGTGGCCAGCAGCGTCAGGTAAGTCAGCTCCATTTTACAAAGGGCAGTTTCTAATCTGGGCCAGCATGGACCGGGCTGGGTGGCGTCATTCCAGATCCTGCACCAGTGGGGTTTCTTCACACACACTTCTCAGGAACGGGGGGATCTACGAGCATGTGTGCAGGGCACGGAAAAGTCTGAGGTGTCTCCCTTAAACTAAGGCGGCCATGAGCAGTGCTGCTTTTGGTGACTCTGATGTTGCATCCAGACTGCTGTGTCTGTCCTCGCGCTGTGCAGCTAAAGGCAAGACAGCACTGTGTGTGTGTGTGTGTGTGTGTGTGTGGTCCTTACAGCAGTGAGGAGGAGAGACAAAGAGCTGACGCAGCTTCAGTCAGACGCAATATTTGATAATGAATTGCGCATGCAGGAAGCCCCCGCTGGTTGATTCTATCCACCAATCAGAGGCTCCCCCTAACGGTGGGTGTGAATTTGAGCTGGCCAATTAGTCAGCAGTGGGCGTGTTGGACCTGTTCAGCCCGAAGCAGACAGTCTTGAGATGTGGGCTGAAAAACTGACCGGTTGAGCACGGAAAAATACAAGGGTAAAACACTTTAAAAGCTACCCAATTTGGTCCGTGCAGGCTCAGATGTAAAACTGCTATCTGTCTAACAGGGACCGGTACTCTGAATTTGCAAGTGCGGTAATCTGGCTACAGAGGCAGGTGGGGTCTGAGTGACATTTCATTAACCCTGTAAAGGGTCATCGTAGCACACACTGACTCAAGACAATGATTTAAAAATATGAAAAAGTTGCCAAGTATGCCTTTAAACTACAAATGATCACTTAACATAAAATGTAGGATAAGGTAGCTGCATTTATTTCAAATAAATCTAGATTGCACATTTGTTTTGCTTTAAAAAGCCATGTTTGAATTTCCCAGTATTCTCTTTATATATCCAAGGAGTTTGAATCTGTAATTCCAACACAGACAGACTGCCCTGTAACTATTGATATGAAATTTGACAGCATGAAGCCCTTACATCACTGTTGCTATCGCTGTGCCAGGACCATAAACCATTGTGTAGCTCACTAGTGTAAATTTGACCGACAAATAATCAGATCTGAACTTAGTTCAGGCCTTTATTGCCGGTCATCGGGAAATTTAGAGCAAAACAAAACAAACACAATTCAAACACCCGTTACTTTGGATGAACCCTTAAAATCTACATAAGAATAAGTTACAAAAGAACTTTATGAAACCAGTATAAACTAAACCGACGTTCACATTCATATTAGCCAACAGCAATCAACAGCTGTGCATTTACTTCCCTGTTTTTGTGTCGCTTATTTCTCACAAAGTAGAGTTGCGAAAGAATCGTCATCGTTCACAGACCAGAACTCCACCACCCATGAACACTGTCCACTCCGTCAGATCAAAAACATGCAGAGAAACCAGCAGGGTTCCTTCCTGGTTTGGATATCTTATGTTGCTGAAGCTGCTGTTTGAAGAGCAGCATCTTTGTGTTGCAACTCACCAACAAACCCCGGCAGTCAGCTGACTCAACACGGAGTCAGCTTTCAAGACTAACAGAAAAATGCCACATAAAGAGGAGGAAGAGTAACGAGGATCACCTGTGTGTAAAAAGCAGCTTGTGTTGAGTTTTTTTTTTATTATGAGAGAAGAAACGAAGAGAGATGTGCTGCCATTGTGTTTTCAGTCCTCATCATGTTTTCAGCTCAGTTTTACAAGCAGGACCCAAATCTGATTACTGTCAAACAGAAAGTTAAGAATACATTTCAATAGAACCTGCCTGATAACATGAAGTAGGCTAAAAGATCTCGAAAAGCAACCCAACGTGCCCTGTTCTAAAAAAAACTTAAGAACAAAACAACCCAGAACAACATCTCAAGTACTTGTGGTTTCAATTAGGCTAAGGTCAAAGGTCATGATCCCAAAAAATGAAAGAGAATGAAAAACTGGGATCAAAAGTTCCAAGGCCAACATTTCTACTGACCATTAAATTAACACTAAACAGTTTCCAGCTTCTCCGCCCTACTGGTTAAAAGCAGAATTACAACTGCCCTGCCGCAGCCTGCTGTAGCTAGCGCTAACAACGAGCTAACCTAGCATGAGCCAACTACTACCAAAAATAAACCAAAGTAAAAAGATCCACACTGTTGGACAAAAAGTATTATTACTTACAAGTCCAGTCGCAACAAATCCAGGTCACCATCATTTCATGAGTTTATTGCCTCCTTTAGCTCCCTCAAAGTAGTACAGCTGTGCCAATGTTCACTCTGGTTTTAGCTCTTAGCTGCGCCTCCAAAGACATTACTGTCTTACTTTTACCTCCAGGCTCCGCCATGATGCTTTAATTGATGGTAGGTGAACGGAAAACGCTAAATGCTAGCCTTTATATTAGCTACCAGCATTGTAAACCACTAATAGCCGGTGCACAGGTAAAAAGCTCCCCCTACAGAGCACTTAACCGCTCAACAAAACTGTTGAGTGGAGCTGTTTCTAGTCAGCAGAGGGCAGCAGGGTGCTGTCCAAGATGAAATCAGTATGATGTCTGCCTACACAATCACTGAAACCCACTTTAAACTAGTAGCTTAAAGTGTTAAAAACTGTTTAGTGTTTAAGAACTCCAAAGAACACTTTCCATAAAGACATCCTGATGATCTCCAAGGCACTTGGAAAATAATCTGTGGACTGACAAAACAGGAAATGGAACTTCTCAGAAGGTGTGTGTCCCTTTACATCTGGTGCAAACCTAAAGCCTGGTTTGTACTTCCCCGTGAGCTCTACAACGGAGAGACGTACACGGAGTGTCGGAAAGATTTTCACATTCGAACTTCTGTTCAGGCGGCGGAGTGTTGCAAAGCAATTCCCCGCCAGGACAACAGAGGGCGTAGCGCTGTTTTGTGGTATCCTGCCACCATAACACTCGTGTATCCGGTCCACGATAGTGTGTTTACTAATGTGTTTATAGATTTCAGAGACTTTGTAACACGGACACATTAGTCCTTCACTCTCCTCCACCTCTTCGTGTGGTCGCCACCTCTAAACCCACAATTTCCGTCGTTTCCGTCCACGTTTGCTCCATATTTTGTACTCCTTAACTCACAGGTAAATAAATGTCCATATTTTCAGACTTTTTCCGCGATGCGTTCTTCAATCTGTTCTGGATCTGCCGCTAAATATCTGTTTACTTTTCAACTGAGCTACAGCGGTGCTGGTGACGAATATACAGGAAGCAGCATCCTGACCAATCACAAGCTTGCGGTGTCCGCCACTTTTGACGGATGCTTAAAATTTTAGGCATGTCTCGGTCACACTCTGTGAGCCCGTCGGAGAGCCCTTGTGCCAACGCATAACGGCGTTGCATGTCTCAGAACCAACGCAGATGGAGAGCTATAAATCAGGCTTTACAGTGCAATTCAGATAAAACATCACACCAACAGTGAAACACGGTGGTGGTAGTGTGGTGGTCTAGGGATGCTTTGCTGCTTCAGCACCTGGACCACTTGCTGTCAATGATGAAACCAAGAATTCTGCTCTCTGTCTGAAACTCCTGAAGGTGAATTCCTGACCTTTGACCTTAAAAAGGCCTTATATGCTGGAAAAACTCTACAATGTGTCTGAATTTACAAAAAAATCCATAACCATCAATAACAACCAGTCATTTGGTTTGGGGATCAATTACTTTTTTGCTAGAGGTGCGTATTGGCAACAATCTCGTGATGTGATATATATCCCTATATGAGGGGGACGATACGATATGATAAAAGCCAAACAATATTCGCAATATTTAGGACAGAGTTTCATTGGCCAGGCTCTTCCAAGAAACATCCAGTGTTATCGCAAGATCCTGTTACTAAGAATGAAGGTAAAACCTGCTGGCATCTAGCGGTCAGAGTTTGAATTTCACCACGCAAAAGAAAATTGGGTAAATGTTAGCATGTTAATTCTCATTTTTTTAATCAATACACTGCTTTAAAATATCGATTCAGCATAACACAAAATATCACAATTTGTTTCGTATCAACAACACAAAATATAACGATATTTCAGTTTAGATATTTTCTTACGTTCCTTTTTCACATTGGGTTTTAGTCATTATTAACACACACACACACACACGCACGCACGCACGCACGAGGGTGATTTGTGTCTGACAGAGCAACACAATCTTACGACATATCACCCTCTCTCACCCACTGCATGCCCCAAAGCTTCCCAGTTTAGTAGTTTCTCTGTCTGACTAAAACTAACGACTCCATTGCTTGTGTTAAGTTTTAGTAAAGCACAAAAGCTTTTGAAGACTCACTTGGTGCTGCAGGATAGTTTGTTGCACTACCCGAGCGTAGTTGTCCAGCTTAACGCCGGAGTTGCTCCTACTTCTCATGCTGACAAGTTCAAGCGGAAAAGAACCAAAACTCCTTATGTCCTCGCCAGAAGAGGCAGCATCCTATTTAAAGTGCTGGAAGTTCAACAAGAAGACAGTTTGTTGTGACAAAGACTAGAAAAGCTGCAGCTTGGCTGTTTAACAGCAGCCCTCAGAGCTGCAATAGCAGCAGATCACCCAGCACGAAGAGCTGGTAACCTGAAGCTGCGCTCGGTGAGGGACCGGAAGCGGAACCGGTGTTGTGCTAAAGAAAGTACCCCTTCAGTAAAAAACACAAACAAGCCCGAAAGTGACCACCTTTTTTTATGTTTATTCTTTATGAGAACTATTTACTAAAGGTTTCCCAGAATTTTTAAAATTACTAAATCATTATTTTGTTCTTCGCTTTAGTTGAGTGATTTTGACTTGGTTTTCTTTTAAGAAAAGTTAAACTGAATGCCGTATTTAACAGTAATTTTACATAAATATCATACATCACGATAATGTGTTTGGTGTATCTCTTATTAAATGTGATAAAAAATAATACGTTTTAACTCTTTATTATCTTAATGAATCGACGGTGAAAAGATGCATCTGAACGGCTTCCTACAATGTGACTCTTTTTCCTGCACAACACCGGATGAGCAGTGATGGAACTTTCAAAGTAAAAGTCTACAATCGCTCTCAATGGATTCTGACATTATGCTTTAAAACCTAAACCTTTTTCTACAGTCACTGGCTTTAACCCTACATTAGTGTCCTGTTTTAAGTCATACAACGAGCTATTTTTTTAATTACAATATTTGTGTTTAAAAGGCAGTTTTCTCGGAAACACCAAATCTAATAACATGTGAGGTTGGGAAGCTGTTCTTTTTTAGTTTAGCTAAATAAGCAACTCATCTGACATTGAAGTTGCCGGGCAAACACGAACCCTTTCTACATTTGAAAACGATGAATAAATAAATTATTTAGGTTTTTTATGAACCAGATAAAAGGAAGCCGTTAGTGTTGCTTTAAGAAAGAACATACTACAAAACATCCCAAAATGCACCTCTCTGCGCATAGGAACGTTTATACAGAAATTAAAAGACGAGTTATCTCATTCCCTGTAAATTAAATACACCACACATTCTTATTTCTAAACCACATAACATCTACCTAAAATAAACGCGTATTTCTTTTAAATTCCGTTTTTATTGCTAGCTTTTCAACTGCGGTGATTTGTTGTTTCACCCGGCGGTCGGGGGAGTTTTTACGGTGTAACACCACGCTTGGGAAGAGGGAGCTGGTAGCATCTCTTCGCTAAAAAACAGCTTTAGCTCCAGTCCCGAAAACATTTGTACTTTTAACTTTCTAAACTCTAATGAGTAGCAGAGGAAACAGCGAAGATGACAGAAAACGGAAAGTATCTTATGTCTACAGTCCGGACTACATCCAGACTTGCGATAGTTTATCCAAAGTACCGAACAGAGTGAGTTGAATGAGAAACATTTAACATGATTTTATTTTTACGTTTAGTTTTTGTTGATGAGTATTTTTATTTCCAGGCGAATATGGTCCACTCTCTGATAGAAGCATACGGACTGCTTCAACATATGAGGTGAGTTCCGGTATTTTAGTCTGAAAAACTTTACAGAAACAGAATAAATAGATGATCATTACCTTCCTGATTTACAAAATAGGTTGGCTTTAAATGCTGTACATTTGTTTCTATGCCTTTTTAAAACCAAATCTCCTAACTTATAATAATCATAAATTTATTTTCTTGATTAAAGAAGAAAAGAAAATATCATTTCTATAGCGCCTCTCACGATAAAAATCACGAGGCGCTTAAAGGTGCACCAATCATGTTTTGAGGGCTGATTTCGATTCTGATTCTTATACAGCTCGGATTGTCCAAAACCAATGTTTGCCTATTCCCATTGAGGGTAAATGATCCTGGAGACAGCTGTCTAAGCAATTAAAAAAAAAACGCAATTCAAAGGTCCAGCCCCTATTCCTCAGGCCCCTCCCCACGAGCCACGCCCCCAGAGTACAGGAGAACGCCAAACCCAATCAATACTGTCAAACAACTACAAAACCATTACGTTATCTTAGTTTTTCAACCGTTGTTTGCACTTTTTCTACCACAACTCCACAACGCACTTATGTAACTTTTGTGGAGCCTTCGAGTGTCTCCTGGTCAGGATGTCTCCGGAGTCTGTCCTCACTGATAGTCGCTGAGAGAAAAGCTGCTGGGATAAGACATCCAGTGGGTAGGACTTGACTTATTATACTGGAAACTCCCTTTGCTACTTCCACTCTATGTAACCGGTTAACAATTTAGCATGCTAGCTAATATAGCTAGCCTGGCTCTGGCTTCACTTCCTGTTCAGCTACTCCAAGTTCAGAACAAGCGATTTGTGGACATAGAGGGGTGTATGCAGAGGGGTTATGATCTAATTAAGAACGAGGTGTTTAAAATGATCACGTGAGTTTTTTACAGGATAGCATACTTCACAGGCAATTAAAAGTATTCACTTAATTTTGGGTTGCCATTGGTACTTCAGGAGCCATTTCAAGCAATATGAAACGAACGCTCCGAAAAACAGCTCCTACTTCACATTTGATGGAATGCAACTTTTAGATTCAGTTACTGATTACCATGAAAAGTACAAATTAGATTGTCATATCCAGGATTACCTGATTGCTGTCAGTTCTTCATACCACAGTTATTTACAGAGATGTTAATTGATTGTTATTTGAGTCATAGTTTTTGTAAAATATATAATAATCTTTGGCAGGTGCAGTTGGTTATCCTGATAGTATAAACAGATTTTTAAAATGCTGTTAGTGGCTTTTTCCAAATCTACAGGTGCTAAAATTGTGCCTGGGGTTCCACAAGGCCATGTTCTCGGTACAGTACTTTTGAACCTTTACATGCTCTTGATCAGTGTTGTATTACAGAGTAATTATAAGACAAATGCATACCTCACATTGTTGGATGCTTTTCTTCCCTTGAGAAATCCCAGGCTTGTTATGTAGTTGGTAAATTGTATCAGTGATAATGGTTAGCTGTTGAGGAAATGGTCATACTGATGGAAAACATAGAGATTTTCATATTTGCTTTAAAGATTCAGAATATAATTTAATGTTTCATATTATATGGTATCAATAAGTGCTTTAATAGTTTGTTCATTTCTATTTATTTTTATTGAACACTATAACCCAAAATCTGCATCTTACAGTGAAAGTTTTTGTACCGTCCCTGGAGTTTTTGCCTGTTCTTTTGCAGCATCGTGAAACCTCACATGGCCACCATGGAGGATATGGCCAAGTTCCACACAGACTCGTACCTGGAGCATCTGCACAAAATCAGTCAGGATGGAGACAACGACGACCCTCAGTCAGCTGACTACGGCCTTGGTGAGAAAAGCAAACTAAAACTTTAAATTCATAAACTTTATCCTTTATTTTTGTTCACACTTTGGTTTTTATTAATAAAAAGGAAAATACAGGAGAGGGGAATAGAATGTGTGTTTTTTGGCCACCAGAGGGCAGTGCAGCATTGTGGATGGATATCTTCTTTGCATCAGTTTTTTTCCTCATTTATTTATTTATCACATGTAAGTCTACATAAATAAATGGTTTTGACTTTATATGACTAAAAAGTTTAGATAATTTGTGTAATTGTTTTATTATTAATAATCTGTCTAAAGATCCATCTGCTGCACATTTTCAAACCTAGGAATAATCCTCACCTAGCTTTTGTTTTTAGGTATCTTCCACTCCTGTTGTTACTCTTTTCTTTCCTCTTTGTTTTTCAACTCTTTCCTCTGGCTCTCCCTTCTGTCTCCCATCCACGCACCTCTCAACTTCCTTGACATGTAACAGAACGCAACATTTTTATGGATTCAGACATTTCTGTCTCTGCTCTCTCTTTCATTTCTTTATCAAACACAACTTGTATGACTCGTATTTATGTTGCTCAGCCTTTCCTTTTGTCGTGTTCTTTGTGCTTTTAATGCACAGTTTTGAGTTCCGATGACCAATAGTCAGTGTGGTGATGTTTGAGCGTTTTGCATCCTCCTCCAGGTTATGACTGTCCAGTGGTGGAGGGAATATTCGAGTACGCAGCAGCAGTAGGGGGCGCCACCGTGACGGCAGCTCAGTGTCTCCTGGAACAGAAGTGTGATGTGGCCATTAACTGGGCTGGAGGCTGGCATCATGCTAAGAAGTAGGGTGGCTGAACACAACATTGTAAACCACCCCAGTCTAGTCTGCTGGATTAATGTTTGATTTGAGGCCTTCAGTGTCTGCTGGAGAAGTTAAAAACATGGTGCCAAAAAGAAATCAAAAGTCTGAGTATGTGAACAAGTAGCTGCTTTAGAACAAGCCAAATGTACCGGTGACTTCAATCAGAAAACTATGTGAATGCCTGGTTTACCAGGACCCTCATTTATCAACCGTACTTATGAGCAGATCTGTGTGTGTTTTGGGCGTTGGAAAGATTCTTACTTTGTGTGATTGTGACATCCCCGACAAGAGGTGTTAAAATGTGGAGGGGGGTAACGTACGAAACACGATAGTACGTTTAAAATGGGTTTAACTGTCAAAGGTTCTAAAAACAAGTGCAAACACATGGTCAGCATTACTAAAATAATGCAAAACAAAAACATTTCTCAGAAAGGTTAATGGTTAAAAGACAACTTAACAATATAAAACACCTGGTTAAAACTTTAAAAGTTTCACAGAAACTGAAGGTATTTGAAAACACAATGAAGTTGATAAAAGTCTAAAAACCAAAGCGGAGTTAACCTTAAAACTGAGTCAACCAAGCTGACAAGAACAAAAGATCCCCTTGGATCACTCAGAATTAAAACTTAAGAAGTTAAAACTCATCAACTATGAAGGGGTTTAAAAACCAAACGAGGCCTGGAGGGCAGCAGAGCCCCTGCACTGCTGCCTCCCAGACTGCTGAAGGCACAGCCTTTTTATCCCAGGTGTGGGTCATCAGAGGGATTCTGCTCAGCTGTGCTCATCAGCAGCCTGGAAGAGAGGAGGAGGAGGGGAGGTGTCGGGCTGATCACCGGATCTGGGTGATCCTGGCTCCTGCATCTGAAGAGGCCAGGCTGGTGGCCGTAACAGTGATATTTATTATTTTGTACTTGTTGTAGAAATGTTCCTAAATATAAGAACAGCTCAGACCATGCGTATGAACAGCCTCTAGTGGTAGAACGAAGGAACCGCAATGCTGAAGGTCAGTCATTCACACGTGTTCCCCATCCACTAATTATTTTTATCCAATAAATGATTATATCTGTGGAGAAACAGCTTTGTCACATAACTGGTGTCTGAACCTATAAAAGACTCATGTGACCGACAGGAATTGTAGCGTGGCTGATCTCGTGTTATTGGAGGAGCATGATCTGATCCCTGAAGGAGGATTTTCTGGAGCTATGCTGTGTTTTGGAACCTTTTGTAGAGCGACAGACAAACCGCACAAATCTGTTTCCAGTCCATTCATTTTTTGACAACTACGAGAACCCCCCAGAACCTCCTCTGCTCCCTGAACATACACACGTTGCCAAGGTAACCAGACTGAATGTAAGCTCAGAGGATGCTGCACTCAGACGACAGACATTTCCAAACAACAAATCTAACTCCAAAAAGAGCATGCATACAACTCCTTAAAGAGCAAGTCACCCCCAAATCAACTTTTTTCTGATAAACTAAATAAATGCGTGTCTAATCGTGCTGCAGACATGTGTAGTCAATAGTTTAGCACTTTAGTGCATTTTAGTTAAAAGTTAAAATTTCTGCCTAAAACTCAGTGTTGTGCCATTGTCAAGTACAAACTGCACTGCAGTTGAATTTAAATCTGCCATCGCTATTGGCTAAGAGGTACCCTAGCATGTTAGCTGGTACCATATGATGTCACAATGTCATTGCGAGCCTGTGTGTGTGTGTGTTTGTTAGCGGCTCCGCCCTCTCGGTCTGCTAGGCAACAGCATTTGTTGCATTTTTTAAACAGCAAGTGGGAGTGGAGTAATACTCTGGTAGGGGGTGACTTGCTCTTTAAATGTAAACTGAAAATGAAAACCTGTTAGCCTATTGAATTTTTTGTTGAACCATTTTACTTTATTTCTGACAGGGACCGCGTCTCAGTCCCGAACACGTTTATAAGCTCTGTAACTTCTTTCGTTCTCTTCTACTTCAGCAGCCAGTGCCTCGATCTCGCTGTCAATGAAGGTTTTTTTGTGAGGAACGCAAGGATTCCTCTCACAAGCTGAGGGTGTGGCGTGACCAAATGTGGTTAATTGAGTGTGTTTCTGTATGTAAATAATTGTGAAAGGACACGAGCACCTGGAACGAACCGGGGGGATTTATCATCAGAAGGCTGTGGAGGAACATGCATACGAGAGGCCACCCCATGTTTCATAAATCAGGATTTTGTCCAGTCATACAAACATTCTAAATTTCCCTGGGATTGAATATAGGAACGTTTCTACGACTGTTTGTTAAATGAGGGCCGAGGATTCTAAACAACAAAAGTAGAACATTTATGAAAGCTCAAATTTGTCTTTTTAGATCAAGATAAACTCAATGTAAATTCTGACGTAGTCAAGTGTTAACTGGTCTGGGTCCTAACTGGTGTTCGTGATATTGGTCATTGTTTTAAATCTGCAGGTGCTGAAATCGTGTCTGGGGTTCCACAAGGTTATGTTCTTGGTCCATTACTTTTGTGACCCATCATATTTCTAAAAGAACAAGTATTATACTAGCCTAGAAGTGTAGACAAATTGTAAAAAGAGCTGCAAGACAAAAAAAATTGTTTTACAGGTCAGTCTTGCCACATTGTAGCTTCAGCAGGTCCACCATTGGCACGAACAGTTTTATGTCCAGCGAATCCCGGAGCTCTGTGTTTAGGAGTGTGCTTGGCTCCAGAACGGTGACAAAGGTGAAACTACAAACATGGCGTTGGCTCAGGAATGACGCACGTTTGAAACAGTTTTCTCATCAACTTTGGACCATTCAGACTTTGCCTTCAAGAGCAGATAGAGGTCTGCTTAAGAGGTCTTAGAAGCCATTTACATGGTTTTTATGATTAAAGTCACCTTTAGATTGAGCTTGTTTTAAAGCAGACATGTCCAAAATGTTGGATTTTGATTAGCAAAGTACTAAAACAAATAAAATATAAATTGCAAATCTAAGGAAAAATCCATGAAATGTTTCTCTTTCGATATTTTTCCCAGGGACGAGGCTTCTGGTTTCTGCTACGTGAACGATGCTGTTCTGGGGATCCTGAAGCTGAGAGAAAAATATGAGAGAGTTCTTTACGTGGACGTTGACCTGCATCATGGCGATGGTACGTTTTTTAAAGCAGATCCTGACCTTAGGAGAGAAGTCCTGCTACCAGCCCCACTTCTCCTCCCACAGGTGTAGAAGAAGCTTTCAGCTTCACATCAAAAGTCATGACGGTCTCTCTTCACAAGTTTTCTCCTGGCTTCTTCCCTGGTTGGTTCCTCCAGATGTTTCATTTCCCTTAAATTATATTCTTTATAGAATTAAATCAGAGTGTGTGTGTTCAGGAACGGGTGACCTTTGTGACACCGGTCTGGGGAAAGGCCGCTGGTACGCGGTGAACGTCCCGCTAGAGGATGGCATCGGTGATGACAGATACAGCCAGGTTTTTACCAGGTACACACAAACACCAGAGAGAGAGAGTACGATCGGATCTGCTCATTAATAAATCTCAAACGTCTAAAAGTCGGTGAACAATCTTTTTTTTTCTGACTTTCTGATCAGATTATTGTACTCATTTTAAAGGAATATTTTTTGTCTTTAAACACATGAGGCTACATCTGGGGTCCCTAACGCGATCGATAACTCATCATTACACCACTTTATGGCACGGAGCTCAACTTCACCTCATTCATTTGATGAAATTTAAAGTTATTTGTCCTCAGCCAGTAAATAACTGGAAATCACACAGTGTCCATAATTTAATTTCAGAAATGTGAGAAATGTAATAATTTGGAAGCTCCTTCTGCTTTATAATTTATATATTTAATTATGAAACTGCTTAAAGATTTGGTTTTATTACTTTTATATCTTTACTCATGACAAACATCACTAAGCAGTGTAATGTAACCTGTATGTTACACAGGAATGATATGTCGGGCCGATATATTCAATTTTTTCCATATTGGCCATTGGCTGAAATTATTTTTAATAGCAGATAAAAGAAAAGTAAAATCAGGCACCTGTGTGGCCAAGTGCCGCCACTTTTAGACTGAAGGACCCCCACACACCGTTTTTTTAATGTTATGAGTTTATTTTATATTTGAAGTTCAATAAATATTAAGAGATTTATTGACTTATTTAATTTATATTGCACACAGTGAGAGTTCATTTGTCTTTCACAATCAACGTGCTGCTAAAACGTGTATAAATCTGTCATGTTGTGGTGGAAGTATCTAACCCACGACATACAGAATCAACACGGAGACTTGGGTAAATGGTTTAAATAATAATTTATTAAAAGGGGAACCAAGGGAGCAGCATAAGCGTAGCTGAGATCTTCAAACAGGAATCTGGTGCAGGGATAGTCTTTAGAGAGGGAATCGCTCGAAGGGGTAGTTGTCCAGTCTGGGTTGAAGGGGTTATCCCAAGCCCCCACAATGCGGCTCTAAAATTGGTCCCAACCCGGAAGTACCAAAAATTGCAGTTGCACCATCATCTGCTGGGGGCTGGTACCAGAACATGTTTTTTGTTTAAATGATCTAGTTTACACTCATGACAACTCTGAGGGGGGTGAATTTTTTTCTCATTCTTCTGTTTAAGTGTAATAAAAGCCTAAAATTCTGTATAATTAATGAGCATCAGACCCACGTGACCACAGAGCTAGCTCCGGGGAAAGGCCTCAGTAGAGCCTCGGTCTAGCTTGGAAACTGCTCCGGGATTTTGAGTCTCTGTGTTTGTGTATTCTTTTTTGGATATTTTTTGTGCAATTGTTGGACAAAATGACTTGCTGTGGCATTAATTGCACTAATAGAGCATCCAAGGAGTCTCCACTTCATTTTTTTCGGTAAGTAAAATTATATTTATGTATTTTAGGTCACTGCCGAGCTGAGCTTAGATTTTAACATGTACTGTTTAACCATGAAATTTAAATGTAGTAGGGTAAAACCCAGTGCATTTAACATAATGCTGCACTTTAGAAAATGGGTTGAAATATAACATGTTGGTGGAGCTGGGTTCCCACTATCGGCTTGTGGAGCTCTCGGGAGACCGAAGTTTTCCACCCGGAATGCCGGCTGTTTCTCCCCGCAGCCCGGTCCATCTCTGTCTGATCGCGACTTCTGTGTGCTGCGGCGGACTGCCGGCTTGTGGAGCTCTGGGATGGAAACCTTTCCACCCGGTTATCCCCAGCGGCAGCTCTGCGCAGCGGCGCTTGTCTGCTGTGCAGCTGCCGGCTTGTGGAGGTCTCGGGAGACCTCTGTGTTCCACCAGGTTTTACCCGGCGGTCAGCCCGGCGTATCTCTGACTCAGAAGCTCTGGTGTTGTGCACAGTTAACTCCGGTTGTAGCTAGGTTGCTACCTCCATTAGCTTAGCTCCCACCTCCGCATTAGCTTTGGGTTAGCTTCATGTTAGCTTGTAGCTAGTTCGACCGGGTGTCGTCAGTTGATCCCAGCCATACAGCCCCACCCTCAGCTCCTCCTCTCTTCCCTTTTATGGAATTGTCTGGGCTTGACAGAACCTGTAACATGGTCAAAATGGCGGTGGTGGCCACCTCCCATTTTAGCACAAAAACTTGTTATTGGAGTCTATGGAAACCCATTGTCCATATATTTATGTCGATGGGTTATCCTGAGGCTGAGATCCAGAGAGTGAGACGTGGAGGGAGCTGAGCTTGAAGACGTGCAAATCCAGGAGGGCATAGGTGGGCTACCGGAGGTGGTTCTGGCCAGGGAGAGACTGAGGGACAAGCGGGGTTGGAGTTCCAGAATGCTGCCAGTCTGAGATGAGGGTGGAGGTTTGTCTGGGAACAAGAGCAGGAAGGTAAAAATGCTAAAATCCAATATTCAAAAACACATCAAAATCTCAAAAGGTCTGAGAGCTAGAATCCAATACGCGAAGTGGCTGTTAGAAGGTACCCAGGTAGAGTAATCATCCAGGGAGGTGAAGGTGTCTCTCAGCTGCTTAAATACTCCCTGGCCGGCTGATGAGCAGAAAGTCTGCAGCTTGGCCACCTCCGGACACGCCCACCTGCAGAAGGAAACTCAAAACCAAAGAGTGATGGCAGAAACAACCCAGACTGTGACAATATCAGCCATAATAATTGGCTTTAGATATCGGCAACAAAGAAAAATAAAAATTCTTTAAAAATTGGTATCGGCATCAGCCCTATGAAAACCCATATCGGTCGGCCTCTACAAAAAAATGTGGTGTTGCTGGACATTCTGCTGTTTTATGGCTTTTTGTCAGACTCTGAACCAGGAAATGTCTGCAGGCAGTGAAGCAGAAGGCAGAAAACTCTGGAGCAACCAGTGACTCCACCCCCTAGCCAATCAGCCGCCACAATCATGATGCTGGCTCGACTCAGCCTCACCAGAAACCTCAACGGAGCAGGGACTATAAATTGGGGAAAAGTAGAGGGAAAATGTGGTCGAGCTGAACTGCACCAGTCCGAGTTACTCAGAGTGGTGCTCTTTGAAAACTACCTATAGACCCTGTAGACCAGGGGTGCTCAATCCTGGACCTGGAGGGCCGTTATCGTGCATATTTTAGTTTGAACTGTGTTTCAACTCACCTGATTTCAATCAGCAGCTAATTAACAGGTGTCTGCAGAGCCTGATGAGCTGCTGCACAGGTGTTTCAACCACTGAATCAAGTCTGTTGGAGCAGAAAAACCACAGAACCTGCTGGATACTAGTGGTGTGCCTCAAAACTTTATTGTCCTCGCATAGACATAGACCGGGGTCGGCAACCTGTTCCCATCAAAGAGCCATTATTACCCGTTTCCTACAGTAAAGAAAACACTGCAGCAGCCGCGGCGTTGTGGGCGGGGCCTACCCTCAGACAGCAGAGCGCTGCTCACAACAGGTGACAGCAGCCAGTACCGGTCGCTCGTGTACGTCAAAGTTATCTTTCATAAGACGATAATCAATAAAACGATTTATATAAAGTGGATCCAGAAGTTGTAGCCCGTCTCTGCCGACAATATTTTGATATTTTTCACCCTGTTGGTGGTTTTACTGAGCAGGTGCCGGTTCATACGTTTCTTTCTAAAACATGTTTAGACTGTTCAGAATACAAATCCAGGCTCTGTCACATTTGATGTTGTAATTAAACATTGTAGGTGGGGAAGGTCAGAAAAGGATCCGATCAATTTGTTTGTCCCTCATTTACAGTGACGGAGATAACGGTGCAGTGCGCCTGGCTCTGGTGTTAATCAGGTTAAATTTGTAACAATTTTCACAGGAAAACAAAACAGTTAAAAGCAGGGCTTGTGTTGACCGGACAGTTCCCGTATTTGACCGTTTATTTTTCACGGAGAAAGAATAGAAAGAATTAACCCGACGCAAGCAGACAAACTGACATTTTATTCGTTTCGCACATCGCAGATGTAGCTAAATCACTCAAGAAAAGATTTCCTTCTGAACATCTGAGCTGGACACTGCTCAGCGCAGCTCGCTGTCAGCGTGTACTACATAAGGTCCACAGTGAGATGAAGTTGTGGAGAGGGGCTTAGAGCGCGTCACAGAACCAGAGCGTATGCAGGAAGATTCCTCCGACTGAAGCGAGACTTGTCACTTAGAAAATGTTCCCTGATTATGAAACTTTGTCTGAATAGTGCTTGTTCCTGTCTCCAATGTGGCGACACATCCAGGAGCCGTCTGAGGAAAAGTCCAGAATCTCACATCCTCTTCAGCTCAGAATGCGCCTATGATTACGCACAAGCGTGACGCGTCAACCCGGTCTCACAGTAAGACCGGGTTGGAACTGTTCAGGTTTACGCAGACAATCTTTACATTTAGAATTGGCGTATATGTAAAATTACTGCAGTAAAATATAAAGCTTTTTATTTAAATATCCATTCATTATTTTACAAGCACAGAGAGCCGCATCAGATGGATGGAAGAGTCGCATGCGGTTCCAGAGCCGCGGGTTGCCGACCCCCGACATAGACATAGGGAGAGAATCTCATTATGTCACGTTGCTGCATCGATGCGGAATCACGCACGGCTGAATCGCGATGCATCTTAGAATCGATCATTTTCCCCACCTCTACTGGATACCGGCCCTCCAGGACCAGGATTGGGCACCCCTGCTGTAGACCTATCATTATTAGCACGGCTTATACCAGCGGAAATTATTTTCTGTTCTTAATTATGTAATACTGTGTGTAGGTTAATGGCCCCACAATTTCACTTGCATGAACATTTTTCTAAATGTATTTAAAGATGGCAGAAATCTACTTAAATATAGACCTCACTTTGCCTAGCTGTTAGCTCATTTATTAAATCGGAGCTGATGCTTCTCTGAACTGAGGCTTTTCAGGAGCTAAGTACAACATATAAGATGGTTTTGCTGTTCATGGTGAAACAAACCTCATTGGCCCTTTTGACATACTTAGTGCAGAAAGGCGGGTGCTAATATTTTTCCCCGCATGCGTCACCAAAATGTACTTGTTCATATTTTCAAGATTTGACCAAAACGGATACAACTTCATCATTTCTCTATGAAAAGTAAGTGTTGAACTTGTACTTAAAGACCAAAAACAAACAAGTAACCCAACTGCCTGAATCGACTCATCTGACTTCTAAAATGTGCTCCGGTATCGGCCGATAAAATAACCCGCATCGGTCAACTTCTACCCAACCAGACTGGCCCATGTTCCTGCTCCTCTCTGAGATGCATGTGCGTGTTTTGTGCCACCTTGTTGTGCAGGGTTCTGCAGGAGGTGCGGGCCCAGTTCAACCCAGAGGCCGTGGTGATGCAGCTGGGTGCCGACACCATGGCGGGTGATCCCATGTGCTCCTTTAACATGACCCCCGTGGGGGTGGGCAGATGTCTGCAGTATGTCCTGCAGTGGCAGCTCCCCACACTGCTGCTGGGAGGAGGTAACGCCATAATTGTGTGTTTATTATTGTGGCCGGTGCTGTTTAGCGTTTTCTCGGGACACACGTGTGTGTGTATGTGTGTGTGTGTGTGTGTGTGTGTGTGTGTGTGTGTGTGTGTGTGCACGTTAGTTACGCCTTTGTTTATGAGCTTATACACAGATACAGAGTGTCAGTAGTTCATCGTATTTTTTGTGTGTCAATTTTCTTTGAATTTCAACACACACACACACACACACACACACACACACACACACACACACACACACACACACACACACACACACACACACGCGCACACACAGTGCCCTGTTCCAGACTCCTCAGCCCTCAGCCAGATGATAGCTACTAATTATACGACACAATGAAGCCATTTTACTCAACTACAATCCGACCTCTCTTCCTTTCTCTCCCTCCCTCCTTGTCCTACATACTTTCTCTCCATGCCGTGTCCTCCTCTCCCTCGTTTCTTGTCATTCTCTTGACTTTACTCAAATACACCCTCTTCACTCAGCTCTGATGGCCTTCAAATAGATTTCAGTAGTTTTCCTCCTAAACATCAGTCTCCTGACGTTTTGCACCCTTCACCCTCGTCACTCTTACTCATCATTACGACAGCGTTTAACAATCCCCCAAATAAACTTTATTTTGAGGACGTTTAAGCTTAGAAACTGTGTTAATGTGTGTTTGTGCCTCCCTCTGCTACACCAGGAGGTTATAACCTGGCTAACACAGCTCGCTGTTGGACGTACCTGACAGCGGCAGTGCTGGGGAGGACCCTGTCCTCTGAGATACCTGACCATGAGGTACAGCAACACACACATTTACATATTCCCGCACGAACACAAATGCTCATTCATTATACCATCACACACATGCACACACACACTCGTGAGAACAGCCTGCTGAGTCACCCATCTAATCAGAGAAGGCCGTTTCTCAATAAAGGGGTTTGTCTCCAGGTGAGTCAGACAGGCAACAGTGCTGACAATTTCTCTCTGTCTGCTGGGTTGAACACAGCCTCCTCTCATGCCTTCATATTGGTCTGTAAGGTCAGCGTGGGGGCGTTTTTAAAGGAGAGGCTTTTGGGGTTATCTTAAACATGTAAAAAGTCATTGTTTTTCCCTCCAATTTAAACTTTTTAAACTTTACATGCAAAATTCAGCCCCTTTGAACTTACGTAAACCAGAACCAAATGTGGATTGTAAAAGTGGACTGATGGAGGAATTGCGACAAGAAATAGGACATATTCAAATTAAACTCAAAGCTCTTGAGGATAACTCTAGTTAGTTGGTCTGGTACACATGTGACATGTAAAGTTAAAGTTAAAGTCCCATTAGTTGTCACACACACAGGTGTGTGTGCGAAATTTGTTCTCCGCATTTGACCCATCCCCTGGGGGAGCGGTGAGCAGCAGACACAGCCGCGCTCGGGAACTATTTGGTGGTTTAACCCCCCAATCCAACCCCTTAATGCTGAGTGTCAAGCAGGGAGGCATTGGGTCCCATTTTTTCAAAGTCTTTGGTATGACCCGACCAGGAATCGAACCCCTGATCTCCCAGTCTCAGGGCGGACACTTTACCACTAGGTCACTGAGATGATTAGCTCGCCATACCACCTTTCCACTGAGCTGGCAGTGCTAGTTTGTCTTAACACTGGTTCTTTGGTTCCAAGTCAAAACTTAACCTAACACCAGCTCCTTGCTGGGCCAGAGCTGGTGCTTGCTAAGAACAACTTTCTCCCCCACCCCCATGATGACAAAACCAAGGTGTGGGGGCGGGACTACCAAAGCTGGAAACAATAAAAAACTTGTACAGTGACGTTGTGTATATACTTTTCTCTGCAAATGTAGAGGCCACTCTCTGTGCCTTTTGATCAAATGTTGATGGTGCGCCAAGATCATGTGGTATACACTAGAGCTCTGCAATGGGACCGGGATCCTGTGGGACCCAATACAAATGTTGCACAAGTGGATGCTTTTGAGGTGGCAATGGGCAGGAGTCGACAGACTAAGAAAAAATGGTGGGTCTTAATTTTGCAACTATTTATATATGGAAATAACAAAGGTGTGCCATAGTCAGACTAGTTAAACAATTTATACGAACTTTATTTATCATTGGCTTATGTATTAGGAGGCAGGAGCAGGCCATAATGGTCATAAAATCAGTGGGAACAGGATTTTAAAAATTGTCTAGCACAAGGTTTTAATGTACACTTCTCTGCAAATCCACCATATACGGGCATTTTGAAGTACCACAGCTGTACCAGATTCTAACAGAGTCTAAGCAGGTGTGTAACAGCTGCAGCTTTGACATCTCATGGGGCTTCAAAGGACAGTTGGATGTCATCTGCATAAAGATGGTAAGAGATTTATTTTAAAGGAGCTCAGGATGTTCTGAAGAGGAAGCAGACAGAGGAGGAAGAGTAGGGGCCCCTTCACAAAGCCTTGTGGGACACCATGGGTGAGGGAGGTGGTGGAGGACTTAAACTTTGAGAAGGCCATAGAGAAGGAACGCTCAGACAGATATGAGTAGAGTTCAACTCACATTAATGGAGAAGCTCGCTACAGTCAAAAAGCTTGGGACTCTTCACTTTACAGTTTGAACTGAGAGCATTCCTCTTATGAAAAAAAGATTTCAAATAATAAAGTAATCCAGTCTTCTTTGTTTGAACTTACAAATTTTAATTTGTGTTACCCCTACTTAATAAATCCCCCCTTCCCAAGACAATATACCGTAAGTCAATTTCTTGTCAGAAAAACATTTACTAATTTTTGGAAGAAGTGATATTTTCTACATATTACATCAGAATGGCTTCAAAGTAAAACAGTCCAGGTGCTTAACTGTCCTTTCCTGTCACCATCACACAACTTGGCACAGTACAAGAGAAATAAATCAACAGAGAAATACATAAATATGCATCAAAATGTTAAAAACGACATATCTTTCTGAGCTACAAAAGAGTTTTAAAATAGAAGAAATGATGAAACTTGATGGTAAGGGCCTTTCTACCTGATTCTTCTCTTTCACATTTTGATATTTAGCATTTTTACATTTATTTTAACATTTATTGGATTTTCAGATATCTATGCTGTTCCTCATGTAAGAATCAGTCGATTCATCTGTCTCTCGAATCCTCGTACGGACAAAGACGGCTTTTTTTTCTTCTTTCCAGTAACCTTTTTTTTCTGACTTTGTGTAGCTCAGATGTAATGAATTGCTGTGAGGGCCAGTGTGCATGTGTGTGTGTGTGTGTGTAATCCGAGTGTGGTGAAGGTACCTCTTGTTTCCCCTCGTCGGCGTTCAATGGTCCTAAATAGCCTTTGACCTCATTAAGGAACACTCACAGAAAACAAAGCAGCTATCAGTGGGAACAACTGCTATAGATGATGAACACATGGAACACACACACACTCTCTTGGTTTTCCCTTGAAATAAAAAATTCTGAAACATATTTTCTTTTTTAAACAAAAAATACTATATGTCATTTAGAAGCAACTGTTAGAACATTGCAGTAATACATAGAGCTTTAGAGATGTGTGTGTTGCCGTGAGTGTGTATTTGTGGCCCCGACTGTGCCTGATAAGAGGGGGTATTATTCATGATGACCAAGCAAAGCTCAAGTCCCAGCAACATGGGAAACAAAACCTACCTTTATAGCCTTGTGTGTATGTGTGTGTGCATGTGAGCCCTCCGCTCTACTGTAGGCAACATGAATACACACATTCATTACTGCCAGATAATGCACCGGCCTGTTTTGTAGCCTCTTCGTGTGTTTCATTCTGTGATTAATTGCTGCCAACTTCGGAGGAAACAGCTGTTGGCCAAATAGGAAACTTTGGAAAATGCTCTAGCAGACTAGACATTTGATTTTCTTTTTAGCAATATCTAAAATCCATTCCGAAATGTTCATTAGTTTGGCTAAATATTTCAAGTTTTAATTCTTACTCATCATAAACATTACTTCTTGATTTTCTGGCCAAATGCTTTATAGAGGACCTAAAAATAGGAGTCCAAAGAACACAAACATCAGTCAAACCAAGATGGTCTCGTCAATAACGGTGCTGTAATATTCACTGATTAAAACCAGACAAAATATTACACTGCAGATAACCCACACAATTGTTCTGCTTGTGTTCCACATATTATACTGGAATATCTAATAAAAACACAAATGAACAGGCTTCACAGCCTGAAGCAGGACTTGAGCCCTCAGGTTGGAAGTCATTAACCCACGCTGCTGGCTTGTATTGTCTGTTAGCCGGTGGCCAATCCTGACTGACCCTTCTTTGTGTGTTGGCAACAGATAATATCAGTTAGGTGGAGGTCAACGATATGCTAAGAATAGCCAAACACAGCAAGATTTAGATGGGAGTTTTTATAAAAGACTACTAAAAATTGGCTACACAGTTTATAAAAATAGTTTTAAAAAGTATTTTAAGTCGTTACTGGTAACAGCATCACAAAATCAAAGGAGGTGATGAGAGGGATTCAATGACATAAGATGCTATGCATGAAATATGTGAAAAAGTATGTCTTTTGTACCATTCATTTGGAAACATGGTTGGGTTTCCTTCAGCTTTTGAAAATAAAGCAGGTTGTATAGACTGCACGTTGTCTTTACATCACATCCTTGAGCCTCAAAAATGGCATACCAGTTACCCCAAAAATCATAAAGACGTGCCAGATTACAGATGACTTCTTAAACCATACCATACCACAACATACCACACCATACCATACCACACCATACCATACTACAACATACCATACCACAACATACCACACCATACCACACCACACCATACCACACCACACCCTACCATACCATACCATACCACACCACACCATACCATACCATACCATACCATACCATACCATACCATACCATACCATACCACAACATACCACACCATACCACACCACACCCTACCATACCATACCACACCATACCATACCACAACATACCACACCACACCATACCACACCCTACCATACCATACCACACCACACCATACCATACCACAACATACCACACCACACCATACCATGTCACACCACACCACACCATACCATACCATACCACATCACACCACACCATACCATACCACACCACACCACACCATACCACACCACACCATACCACACCACACCACACCATACCATACCACAACATACCACACCATACCACACCACACCATACCATACCATATCACACCACACCACACCCTACCATACCATACCACACCACACCATACCACCCCACACCACACCACACCATACCATTCCATACAATACCATACCACAACATACCACACCATACCACACCACACCATACCACACCACACCATACCATACCACACCACACCACACCACACCATACCACACCACATCACACCATACCATACCACAACATACCACACCATACCATACCACACCACACCATACCATATCATACCATACCATACCATACCACAACATATCACACCACACCATACCAAACCATACCATACCATACCATACTAGGGGTTGTATGAACTAGTCGACCAGTCAACTTCACTGCTCTGTAGTGACTTTTTATGCCTTTCAGCGACTAGTTGCTGTCACGTGATAATGAGCGACAAGATGCAGTCCTTGGACAAGACAGCAGGTGACGAGCTCCTGTGCATTGGGAGGCAACGCGCTGTGCCAGAGCGTCTGTACTAAAATGGACATTTAACCAAATTGTGACGTTTACCCTCTTGCAATTTAACCTTCCCCTCTCCCCCATCCTAATCTTAACCAGCGTGCACATGCAAAGCTCTGAT